ACTTCATAACTGTAATTTTGCTATTGTTATGAATCGTAATGTAAATATCTGATATGCAGGGTGTATTTTTATTGTTACGAATTGAACATAATTAAAGCAAAGTGATTAATCACAAAAGCAATATACCAATGCTTACTGGAGAAGCTTACTCTTCCTTGCTCAAAAATGTTGGGAGGGAGGGAAGGGGAAGGAAGGAGGGAAGGAAGGAAGGAATATTGAAGGGGAAAGGAAGGAGATGGAGAAGGAAGGAGATTGAAGGGGAAAGGAAGGAAGGAGAAAGAGATTGAAGGGGAAGGGATGGAGAAGGAAGGAAGGAAGGAAGGAAGGAAGGAAGGAAGGAAGGAAGGAAGGAGAGATTGAAGGGGAAGAAATGGAGATGGAAGGAAGGAAGATTGAAGGGGAAAGGAAGGAGATGAGAAGGAAGGAGATTGAAGGGGAAGGAAGGAGAGAGATTGAAGGGGAAGGGATGGAGATGGAGATGGAAGGAAGGAAGGAAGGAAGGAAGATTGAAGGGGAAAGGAAAGAGATGGAGAAGGAAGGAGATTGAAGGGGGAAGGAAGGAAGGAAGGCAGGAGAGAGAGATTGAAGGGGAAGGGATGGAGATGGAGATGGAAGGAAGGAAGGACGATTGAAGGGGAAAGGAAAGAGATGGAGAAGGAAGGAGATTGAAGGAAGGGAAGGAAGGAAGGAAGGGAAGGAGAGAGATTGAAGGGGAAGGGATGGAGAAGGAAGGAAGGAAGGAAGGAAGGAAGGAAGGAAGGAAGGAAGGAAGGAAGGAAGGAAGGAAGAAAGGAGAGAGATTGAAGGGGAAGGGATGGAGAAGGAAGGAAGGAAGATTGAAGGGGAAAGGAAAGAGATGGAGAAGGAAGGAGATTGAAGGAAGGAAGGAAGGAAGGAAGGAGAGATTGAAGGGGAAGGGATGGAGATGGAAGGAAGGAAGGAAGATTGAAGGGGAAAGGAAAGAGATGGAGAAGGAAGGAGATTGAAGGAAGGAAGGAAGGAAGGAAGGAAGGAAGAAGGAAGGAAGGAAGGAAGGAAGGAAGGAAGGAGAGAGATTGAAGGGGAAGGGATGGAGATGGAAATGGAAGGAAGGAAGATTGAAGGGGAAAGGAAGGAGATGAAGAAGGAATGAGATTGAAGGGGAAAGGAAGGAAGGAGAAAGATTGAAAGGGAAGGGATGGAAATGGAAGGAAGGAAGGAGATGGAGAAGGAAGGAGATTGAAGGGAAAGGAAGAAGATGGAGAAGGAAGGAGATTGAAGGGGAAAGGAAGGAATGAAGGAAGGAGACAGATTGAAGGGGAAGGGATGGAGATGGAAATGGAAGGAAGGAAGATTGAAGGGGAAAGGAAGGAGATGGAGAAGGAAGGAGATTGAAGGGGGAAGGGAAGGAGGGAAGGAAGGAAGGAAGGAGAGATTGAAGGAGAAGGGAAGGAAATGGATGAAGGAAGGAAGATTGAAGGGGAAAGGAAGGAGATGGAGAAGGAAGGAGATTGAAGGGAAGGAAGGAAGGAAAGAAGGGAAGGAGAGATTGAAGGGAAAGGAAAGGAGATGGATGGATGGATGGATGGATGGAAGGAAGGAAGGAAGGAGAGATTGAAGGGGAAGGGAAGGAGATGGATGGATGGAAAGAAGGATTGAAGGGGAAGGGGAGGAGATGGATGGAAGGAAGGAAGGAAGATTGAAGGGGAAAGGAAGGAGATTGAAGGGGGAAGGAAGGAAGGAAGGAGAGATTGAAGGGGAAGGGATGGATGAATGGAAGGAAGGATTGATCTTTGGAGAGTCATGATTTCCCAGATGGTGATGAACTGCAACTCCCAGCATTCCCCATTCTTCCACAGTGCTTTTTAGGGCTACTGGAGATGGTAGTCCAGTAAGGTCTGGAGACACACAGATACCCTAGCAGGGAAAATTGGCCGGGTAATTGCTGATCATTGATCTGGGGCCTTGGAAGCCGCACGGAGGATCCACGTGCCTCAGAGCTGCCGGCCGCCCTCTTGCACCCGCCAACCTGGAGCCCCCATTCTCATCCTGGCACCTCTTGCCCTCTCCCAGCTGCCCCCCAGGACCTGCCCGCTCCTCCAGCCTCCTGTGCCATCACAGCAGTGGGGTCGCGGGAGCCCTTTGCTGCCACAATCCTTCCTCGACTCGTCGCATGCAAGGGGTGTGGCCGGAGCTTCAGCTCCTGCTTGGAAGGTGCCGCTTCTCCCCTCCCGGCCCAACCGGCTAGCCTCCGACGCACATGCGGGCATCGCCGCCGCCTCGCCCTCTTCCCAGCCACCTGGCTGCTTCCGAGGCCTGGAGCCCGGTGAGCTGGGAAGAAGCCGCTCCTGCCCGCCAGCCCCAGGGCCGCGTCGGGTGCCAGAGGGCCGAGGCGGCCTCCGATGTCAAGGGAGGCAGGTCGGGCGGCATGGGGGAGGCCCCGCACAGCACGGAGGGCAGCCGGGGGCGGAGCGTGGCCAGGCAACCAGGAGGCGTGGTGACCGGCTTGGCGCCTCAGGTTAGCTAGTAGCAGCGGCAGTGGGGGAGCAGCCCAGCAGCAGCGCCAGAAGTGGCCCAGATTAGGCTTGGCCTGGCTGCCCATGCAGCTGAGCCTGCCCGGGCGGCGTTGGGGGCACGCGCGATGGCGCTGCAGCGGCAGGAGCAGGCGCTGTCGGAGAAGGGTGCCCTGGAGGTGGAGGAGCCGGCGAAGGAGGAGGGCGGCCGTGGTGGCCAGATAGAGGAGCGGTGTCTCGGTTCCTAAGACAATCAGAAATATGTGTTTTCCGATGGTCTTAGGCGACCCCTGTGAAAACATTCGACCCCCAAAAGGGTCGCGACCCACAGGTTGAGAACCGCTGGATTAGAAGATCTCCAAGGTCCCTTCCAACTCTGTTGTTCTGTCACACTTTTTGAACCCACATGTTTCCATGTCTGTCCTAAGAAGGGCTTGTTATGTATTCAGGCTCTTGGGCATAGGGCTTCCTGCCTGAGCAGGGGGTTATAATAATAATAATGAAGTTGGAAGGGAGCTTGGAAGTCATCTAGTCCAACCCCATGCTCAGGCAGGAAACCCTATACCATTTCGGACAAATGGCTGCCCAGTCTCTTCTTAAAAATTTCCACTGTTGGAGCATTCACAGCTTCTGGAGGCAGGTTGTTCCATATTTAATAAGGGAGAATATTTGGAGCTCATGGTTGAAATGAGGGATCCTTGGTGCTTTCTGAGCTTGGTTGTGTTCTTGCAGACGTTTCCTTACCCAATCTACAAACTACTCCTTACTAGCACTGATGATGTTATCTGGTTTGGGTAATGAAACTTCTTCAAGAAAATAAGTAAGCTCAGAGAGCAGAACCCCTCAGGTTTTTCATTCTGCAGCATGGAGGACAAGAGAGACCCCAACCTCAGATCTTATATCAACCCAATTGTAAGGAGCTGCCTCAGCTAAGCCACCCAAGAAAGCAGAACTCTTGAAACAGGCATTGTCTCAAAAGGAACTTTTATTAGGGGCTCATGATAGCAGGGAAAACAAGGTGAGGTCTGAGGAAAAACCCGTGGAAGCGATAAAAGAAAAGCATTATTCAATATTCCTCCCCCCCAGAATCCAGTGTTCATTTGATTCCAGCCAATACACAGGTGGAATAGTGTTTTAACTGGCTTCTTTGGCACGTTCTTTCAAGTTCTCTCTGGCTTTCGTTTCCTTCTGGCTCCAAACGCAACCATCTCTCAGAGAAGGGTGATGCATTCCATCCCCTGGGGGACGGACACCATAGCTGGACAGTGCAAAGTATCCCCAAGACATCCCCCCTCCCAACAGAGTGGCAGGCCACAAAGAAAAGTTACAGATTCAGGAATAGGAATAAGGAGACAATAATATTCTCTGGGAACCTGACACCAGTACCAGGCATCGCCCCATGTTTTGAACATACCCTGATAGACACAGGCAGAGGAATCACCAGAAAAGATAAAAGAAAGAAGATTTGAGATGGTGAGGCATAATTTTGATTAATGTTCAAACAAGAGATGCAACAGTGTGGAGGCCTGAGTCTGTTTGCACCTCACTTTATGTCGGTTATGACAAACCCTTTAGAGACTGAGTACCCCAAACCCACCCATCCCCTGCCCCACCCCCACCCACCGGCAGGGCCACCCACCGCAGATCGCCCAGGTGGCCCAAAAGTGCAATGACAGCCACACTCTCCACCCGCACCCCGCAGCATCAACTGCACGCAACAGGGTGAGAGGGTGGAGTCTTGTCCCTACTACCCGGCTGCCATGTCCTTGGCTGCTCTGCTCTGTGCGGGCTCCGCTTGGGGGTGTCTCTCCTCCAGGGGGGGCTGCTAATGAGGAGAGGGCCGCCGGGGGAGGAGGGGCTGGGATGACGGCACATGTGCCCACAGAGAGAGCTCTGAGTGCAACCTCTGACACACGTGCCATAGGTTCGCCACCACTGCTTTATGTCAACTTTTCTTCTTTTTTTTTCTTTCTTTTTTCTTTTTTTCTGCTTCAAGCAGGTGGTGAATGGGAGATGAAGGATTCTGGCCAAGAATCAGCAGCACCATTGCAAAAAGGCAGAATGAAGTACGCAGAGACATATTTTGGAAAGCAAAGTTCTGAGGAAAAATTATTAAAGGAGGAGCTACAGAAATGCCCTACTTTACCATATGTAGCTGTCAGTGATTTCTCGGGCAAAGATGATCAGCCAGAAAAAGAGGCTTGGCCAGAGTGTGGAAAAATACCCGCAGACGAATCAGGATTATATGACTGTTGCAGAAGCCACACGATAGAGAAACAAAATGAATGTGGAAAACATTTCCGAAGGACCTTTTCTGTTACTTTGCCTCAGAGAATACAAGGAGAGAAACCATATAAATGCCTGGATTGCGGAAAAAGCTTCAGAGACTCAAATTATCTTACTTCCCATAAAAGGATCCACACAGGAGAAAAACCATACAAATTCAGGATATGCGGAAAGGGCTTCGATTTTCCACAAAGCCTCACTTCCCATTTTGGGAGTCACACAGGCGAGAAACCATATGAATGTACGGAATGTGGAAAACATTTCACTCATTCAAGTAATCTCAGTAACCATAAAAGAATCCACACCGGGGAAAAACCGTACAAATGCAGGATATGCGGAAAGGGCTTCAATTTTCCACAAAGCCTCACTTCCCATTTTAGGAGTCACACAGGCGAGAAACCATATGAATGTACAGAATGTGGAAAACATTTCACTCATTCAAGTAATCTCAATAACCATAAAAGAATCCACACCGGGGAAAAACCGTACAAATGCAGGGTATGCGGAAAGGGCTTCAATTTTCCACAAAGCCTCACTTCCCATTTTAGGAGTCACACAGGCGTGAAACCATATGAATGCCCCAAGTGTGGAAAGACCTTCAGTGAAAAATATCAGTATAAAGTTCATAACCAAAAACATACCAGAGAGAAACCATATAAATGTACAGAGTGTGGAAAACTCTTCACTAATTCAAGTTCCTTCACTTACCATAAAAGAATCCACACCGGAGAAAAACCGTATGAATGCAAGGAATGTGGAAAGAGCTTTCGTTGTGCAAAACACCTTACTTACCATACAAGGATTCATACAGGAGAGAAACCATATAAATGCCAGGAATGTGGAAAGGGTTTCACAGTTTCAAGTTCTCTTACTGTTCATAAAATGATCCACACTGGGGAGAAACCCTACAAATGCAAGAACTGTGCAAAAAGCTTCAGACGTAAAGGTCACTATATTGTACATAACAGAATCCATACTGGAGAGAAACCATATAAATGCCCAGAGTGTGGAAACGGCTTCAGAACTTCAACTTCTCTTGCTGCTCACAAAATGATCCACACCAGAGATAAACCCTACAAATGCAAGAACTGTGCAAAAAGCTTCAGTCAAAAATATAAGTATACTGTACATAACAGAATCCACACTGGAGAGAAACCGTATAAATGCCCGGAGTGTGGAAAGAGCTTCACAACTTCAAGTCATCTTACTACTCACAAAATGATCCACACCGGGGAGAAACCCTATAAATGCAAGAACTGTGCAAAAAGCTTCAGACTAAAATGTCAATATATTGTACATAACAGAATCCACACTGGAGAGAAACCATATAAATGCCCGGCGTGTGGAAAGAGCTTCACAACTTCAAGTTATCTTACTGCTCACAAAATGATCCACACTGGGGAGAAACCCTACAAATGCAAGAACTGTACAAAAAGCTTCAGACTAAAAGGTGAATATATTGTACATAACAGAATCCACACTGGAGAGAAACCTTATAAATGTACGAAGTGTGGAAAGGGCTTCACAGTTTCAAGTTCTCTTACTGCTCATAAAATGATTCACACCGGGGAGAAACCCTACAAATGCAAGAACTGTGCAAAAAGCTTCAGTCAAAAATATCAGTATACTGTACATAACAGAATCCACACTGGGGAGAAACCATATAAATGCTCGGAGTGTGGAAGATGTTTCACATCGTCAAGTTCCCTCACTTCCCATCAAAGGAGCCACACTGGAGAGAAACCATATAAATGCCCAGAGTGTGGAAGATGTTTCACTTTGTCAAGTAACCTCACTTCCCATCAATGGACCCACACTAGGAAAAATCGTACATTTGTCTGGAGTGTGGAAAGGGGTGAACTCAACGTCAGTCCCTTTATGAGCACAGAAAAGAACCGTATAAACAAATTATCAGAAATTTGGGACTTTTGAGCTATTTATTACTGTGGAGAAATGAAATGTTAGGGAATGAAGGGAAGATAAGAAGGAACGACTATTCTGAAGAGAGTGGAGAAAAATAACTACAATTGTTGTTGTTTTTTTTTTTTTTTTGAATAACGTTGAGCGTTTGTCCATACAGAGCCCCGAATATACTCTTTTTTGGAAGATCCATTTTGGAACTTTTTGCATCTCTCAGTTTATTGGCCACTAGAAGCACCTAACATAGTTACATAACAATGACTCTGGGTTTTGACTTTGCTCTTTTTGCTCCTTAATTTAGATCTCCATCACTGAACATTAATTACAAGGGCTGTCAACACTTTCATTTCTGCAATAGTGGCAAATATCTGTAGCTCGGGTGTAGGATGAGGGTGAAGGTTTGTTTTCCGATCTTATAGGTTGGTTTCCGAACATTTTCTTACCAGGCTAGGAAACATCTTTAGCGGAGTTTAGAGGATGTCAGGGTTAAGTGTTTATAAGGGCTTCAGATGTGGGTGTGTCAAAAGAAGGTTAGAAAAGAGCAACTAAGATGATCAAAGGCCTGGAGACTAAAACATGAAGAACGGCTGCAGGACTCGGGTTTTGCTAGTCTAAAGAAAAGAAATAGGGGAGACATGATAGCAATATTGCAGTATTTGAGAGTCTGCCACAAAGAAGAGTGGGTCAAATTATTCTCCAAAGCACCAGAGGCAGGACAAGAAACAATGGTTGGAAACTGATCAAAGGGAGAAGCAACCTGGAATTAAGGAGAAAGTTCCTAAACGTGGACAATTAACCAGTGAACAGCTTGCCTTCAGAAATTGTGGGCGCTCCATCACTGAAGGTTTTTAAGAAGCGACTGGACAGTTACTTGTCTCAGATGGTATAGATTCTCCTGCTTGAATGGGAGACTGGGCTAGAAGACCTCCAGTCCCCTCCAGATTCTATTCTATTCCGTTCCATTCCATTCCATTCTACTCTATTCTTGTGATGGCTCAGGTGTGAGTCATCAGTGAGAGGCTTCTGATGGGTCTTGTGATGGGGAGCAATTCCATCAACAGGCACATTGACCTACAACCAGCCTATGAAGTCCTCAGAATCCAAATCAACCACACAGCCAAGCGGAGAGAGCACCGACCTTCAACCAACCCATGTAAGCCCCCCAGAAGTTCACCTCCCAAAGACCCTGACCTGATGTAACCTCCCCATCACAAGACCCTCTCTTGACACACCCACACCTGAAGCCCTTGTAAACAAGAACACTTTACACTGACGTCCTCTAAACTCTGCTGAAGATGTTACCTAGTCTGGTAATGAAATGTTCAGAAACCAACCCACAAGCTGAGAGAAAGAGCTTCACCCTCACTTTCATTTCTCTTTTATTTAGTCTTCTGGCTTTCTCAACTCTTGGGATGATAAAAAAAAACACCATGCCAGGTTTAAGGTATGGGTGGGCAATCTCAGCTTTGCTGTCATCATGCAATTTCTTCAATAAAGGTCCCTTTTGGTTTCCATTCTTTTAAGGACTAATCTCCAAAATTATTTTTACATAAAGTTTCAGTCTTGTAGCTTCATTCTTCCTTTCTTAAATGCACTTTTTACCCATGCAGCACAGGACAGGAATCCGGACCCTATTCCAGAGTTACAATGTCCAAGATCAAAGGTTTTCTTCTTTAGATCCCCAGTAATTTTCCGCACCTAATGACGAAGCTATGGTTGAATCGGTGGTTTGGGTTGAAATCCAGCCCCATAGATCTTTAGGAATTCCATCCAAAGCAGAGATTCTCTTGATTTAGAAGGGAGTTTGAACCCCTTCTGGCTTTTGGCTGATTACTTGACTCAGCTGGCCATGGGTGCTGAGGGAAACCCTTTCTGTCAAAAGATATCAGAACTCCAGCTGAATACCCCCTCCTATTTTTCCTACAACAAACGGCCTGTGAGTGGTTTACCAAAAGAGAATGACAGGCCAAAAGTCACCCAGCTGAGTTTCCCAACCTTTCGGCATTGGCGGCGTAGAGTGAGTGTGAGGAGAGAAAGAAGGGATGATTTTGTGCTATGTGCTCGTGCATGAACACTGCAATGTTTGCAGCGATGCTTGTGTGAGTGGAGCTATGTATACTTTTTTTAAACAAATTTTATTGTTTTTTTTAATTCTTAAAGTGCTCAAGACATAACGTGGTGCTGGGGTAATCAAACATCCAAAAATAAAACCATATATGAATAGCACAAATCAATATTCCCTCTCTATTTCCTTCAAATAGCATAATATATTTAAACTAATCCATTTCTAGATTAAGTTTCTATAAATCCGAAACCTGTTTCAGAGCATTATGACTTTACAATTACCATAATCAAATTTAACCTTAAATGAATACGTTCTCACTTCAGGTATCCCTTCCAGGTGTAATCTAGTTCATGATCTCTTAAATCCTTAATTTTATCACAAGTCTCGTTTATTTCTTCTTCCACTACACAATATTTATCCTAATTAAAATAAAATATTAGTCTACCCTATACGTATAGTCCTTTAATCAATCAATCTCTTTAACATAGCAAAATAATATCAAACCTTAAATCATTTCCATCCATTAGAGAAAATTCAAATTTCATCCAAATAATTATCATACCTAAAAAACACCCATGTTATCACACAAAAAAAATCATCTTGCTCATTTAACATAATTAATTATTGAGTCAATCCAGATCTAAAAAGCCTCTTCAGTTTTCTTCATTCCATTACACAGTGGTTTTCATGGAAATAAACCTATTATTATTATTCCAAGAAATACATTCTTAATCTATTTAAGGTATATATTCTAATAATCACCCATTTTTCTCTTACTTCTAACTCTAAATCTTAATCCTCAAATCATTCCATAATTCTACAGTGTCTTTTAATCCATTACATATAATTTTAAATTTCTCTTTTCAGTCTTATTCTGGCTTTCTTTTTGTGCCAGGTAGGTTTCCATAACAAAGCTTCCCTTTCAGTCGATAAATCTCCCTTTGTTGTTTGTAGTATCATTTGAATCAGTAAAAAGCATCCCATCCTCTGCATTGGGTGTCTATTTCTCTTGTCCTTAAAGCCTCGTTGTTTTAAAGGTTCAAATCTCAGTCTTTGGTTCTTCTGATCCTCAAAGATATAGATGAAATGCTTGTAAGGTAAAATAAATGCCTCTTTAATCTCAGTTGATTCCTCTTCTAATGTGTTTTGATTTATACAATAGTCAGATGCTGTCTGTAAATCAGTTTGAACGTTTTGAGGTAAAGCTTATGGTTCTTAATTCTGTAGTAATCTCTTTCATTTTAGCGCATATTTCTTCAGTAGCCTCATGAATCTTTTCCAATATAAGTTTACAGTTTAATTGTGAATGAGGTTTCTCCATTTTAATAGTAATTGAAGAGAGTCCCTTTTATCTTTTAGTGGAGGCTGTCTTTAATAGAAGTTAAGCAGTATCCACCCCCACAATTTCCACAAGTACATCAGCTTATCTTTTCTCTTCAAAAATAGTTTGAAGGTCAAATCTACCTCATCTCCAGACAGTAACCAGCAGTTCCAGTATTAACTTTTTGCCACTAGATGTCCTCAGTAGGTTAAGAAATCTTTTCCAGACTCCATTTTTTCTGTCTTTTAAAGGAAAAGGTGGAAAAAGAAATAATCTTCCAGTGTAAAATAATAGTACAGCTCTAAAAAGGAGTTTTTTCTGTAGCCCCAAAGTAGATGAGAGTAAAATCTAGTCATTAAAAGTTATTTCTTCTATTCTTTTGTTCAACGCCTTTCTTCCCAAACAAACAAAAGCTGCTTTTTCAAGATAGGGAAATAATTCCAACGAAGCTTTTACAGGCAAAAAGAACACAATAGAATAAAGAGAGGAGCAGGAGGGGTCTCACCCAGATCATTCGTGGTGTGTCTTTTATGCTTAGACGTACTTGTGACTTTCGGCTGGTGCAGCAGAGTAATTGGCCATCTTGCAGGACGATCTTTGCTCTGTCAGCCCTAAGGAGATAGTTGGAGCCGCGAGAGAAGCTGCTGCCCTCCCGCAGCCACCAGCAAGTCTCCTCCCCACTAGGGGGTCTACTGGCGAAGAAAACACGGCCGGTGTGAAGACGAGCCTCAAAACACGACCGGAGTCGCTGTGAACCAGAACCGGACGTCGAGCCATGTACACTCATGATGAACAATTGGGGCTGTGAATGCTCGCGCGAGTGGGGCCACAAATGCCCGCGATGCTCACACAAATGCAGCCACAAACGCTCAGGATGATGCTAACATGAGAGGGGCTACAAATGCCCATGGCAAGGCTCATACGAGTGGGGCTGCGAATACCCACGGCACAGCAATGATCACGTGACTGGGGCTATACGAGAGCATGAAGATGCGCACACAAACTAGCCACTCAAGTGGCCTGGTGGTCAATGGGCTGCAGCCCGGTAGTAGTCCACAGCCCACTGGTTAGGCGCCTTACCTAAGGGGAACTAGATCTCATGGTCCATCAGTTTCTAATCCAGCACACAAACGACTTGTGATCATTATTTATTTATTTATTTATAAAATATATTGTTAATTGCGAAGTCGTGTCCAACCCATCGCGACCCCATGGACAACGTTCCTCCAGGTCTTCCTGTCCTCTCCCATCTTCTGGAGTCCATTTTAGTTCTACTGCTTCAGTGACTCCATCCAGCCACCTCATTCTCTGTCGTCCCCTTCTATTGCCCTCAACCTTTCCCAGCATTTGGCCCTTCTCCAGTGAGTCCTTCCTTCTTATTAGGTAGCCAAAGTATTTGAGTTTCAACTTCAGGATCTGGCCTTCTAAAGAGCAGTCAGGTTGATCTCTTCTAGGACTGACCGGTTTGAACGCCTTGCAGTTCAAGGGACTCACAGGAATCTTCTCCAGCACCAGAGTTCAAAGGCCTCAATTCTTTGGCGCTCAGCCTTTCTTATGGTCCAACTTTCACATCCATACATTGCAACTAGGAAAACCATGGTCTTGACTATACGCACTTTTGTTGGCAGGGCAATGTCTCTGCTTTTTAGAATGCTGTCTAGAGTTGCCATAGCTTTCCTCCCTCGGAGCAAGCGTCTTTTAATTTCTTGGCTGCAGTCCCCATCTGAGGTGATCTTGGAGCCCAGGAAAATAAAATCTGTCACTACCTTCATTTCTTCCCCATCTATTTGCCAGGAATTGAGAGGGCCGGATGCCATGATTTTGGTTTTCTTAATGTTGAGTTTCAAGCCAATTTTTGCACTCTCCTTCTTCACCCGCATCAAAAGGCTCTTTAATTCCTCTTCACTTTCTGCCATTAGAGTGGTATCCTCTGCATATCTTAGGTTGTTGATATTTCTCCCGGCAATCTTAATTCTTTAGCATAGTCAATGAAGCAGAAGTAGATTTTTTCTGGAACTCCCTAGCTTTCTCCATGATCCACCGTATGTTGGCAATTTGATTTTTAGTTCCCCTGCCTCTTCAAAATACTGCCTGTACCTCTGGTAGTTCTCGGTCCACATATTGCTGGAGTCTAGCTTGTAGGATTTTAAGCATAACTTTACTAGCATGTGAAATGAGTGCAATGGTGTGATAGTTTGAACATTCTTTGGCATTGCCTTTCTTTGGAATTGGAATGTAAACTGACCTTTTCCAATCCTGTGGCCACTGTTTAGTTTTCCAAATTTGCTAGCAAATTGAGTGTAGCACTTTTACTGCATCGTCTTTTAAGATTTTGAATAGCTCATCTGGAATGCTGTCACCTCCACTAGCTTTGTTGTTGCTCCGATTTCCTAAGGCCCATTTCACTTCACATTCTAGGATGTCTGGCTCGAGGTCAGTGACCACCCCATTGTGGTTATCTGGGATGTTAAGCTTGTTCTTGTATAGTTCTTCTGTGTAGTTTTGCCACCTCTTCTTAATCTCTTCTTAATATAATGTAAATATATATATACATTGCTTACTGGTGTACACCGCTTAGAGAGTGCTTGCACTTAAAGCGGTAAATAAGTCTCATAAATAAATAAATAAAATAAATAATCTCTTCTGCCTCTGTGAGGTCCCTGCCATTTTGATCCTTTATCATGCCCATCTTTGCATGAAACATTCCCTTCATATCTCCAATTTTTCTTGAAGAGATCTCTGGTCCTCCCTATTTTATCGTTTTCTTCTATTTCTTTGCACTGTTCATTTAAGAAGGTATTTGTATCTCTTCTAGCTATTCTCTGGAATTCTACATTCAATTGGGTGTATCTTTCTCTTTCTCCTTTGCCTTTCACTTCCCTTCTTTCCTCAGCTATTTGCAAAGCTTCCTCAGACAGCCATTTTGCTTTCTTACATTTCTTTTTCTTTGGGATGGTTTTAGTTGCTACCTCTTGTACAATGTCCGTCCATAGTTCTTCAGGCACTCTGTCTATCAGATCTAATTCCTTAAATCTATTTGTCACCTCTACTGTATATTCCTCAGGAATATGATTTAGTTCATACTTGAGTGGCCTAGTGCTTTTCCCTACTTTCTTCAATTTAAGCCTAAATTTTGCAATGAGAAGCTCATGATCTGAGCCACAGTCAGCTCCTGGTCTTGTTTTTACTGACTGTATAGAGCTTCTCCATCTTTGGCTGCAGAGCACATAGTCAATCTGATTTCTGTGTTGACTGTCTGGTGATGTCCATGTGTAGAGCCGTCTATTGGGTTGTTGGAAAAGAGTGTTTGTTATGACCATCGTATTCTCTTGACAAAATTCTATCAGCCTGTGCCCTGCTTCATTTTGTACTCCAAGGCCAAACTTGCCTGTTATTCCAGTTATCTTTTGATTTCCTACTTTAGCATTACAATCCCCCATGATGATAAGGACATCATTTTTGGGTGTTAATTCTATAAGGTGGTGTAGGGTTTCATAGAACCGGTCAATTTCATCATCTTCAACACCAGTGGTTGGGGCATAGATTTGGATTACTGTGATATTGAATGGTTTGTCTTGGATTCGAACTGAGATCATTCTGTCATTTTGTGGATTGTATCCCAGTATTGCTTTTCCTATTCTTTTATTGACTATGAAGGTTACTCCATTTCTTCTGAGGGATTCTTGCCTGCAGTAGTATACCTGATGGTCATCTCAGTTAAATTCACCCATTCCTGTCCATTTTAGTTCGCTGATGCCTAAGGTGTCAATGTTCAGTCTTGTCATCTCTTGTTTGACTACGTCTAGCTTGCCTTGGTTCATCAATCTTACATTCCAGGTTCCTAGGATCTTTACAGCATCAGACTTTCCTTTCACCACCAGATATATCCACAGCTGAGCGTCCTTTCGGCTTTGGCCCAGTCGCTTCATTCTTTCTGGCGCTACTAGTACTAGCCCTCTGCTCTACCCCAGTAGCATATTGGACACCTTCCGATTTGAGGGGCTCATCTTCCAGCGTCATATTTTTTTGCCTTTTGTTACTGTCCATGGGTTTTTTTTAAAATAAATTTTATTAATAATACAAAATTAAAAACACATTGGACATAGATATGACGTCACTGGTTCCATACATCTTCCGACATTTTACAGTAATATTAGTACTCATATAGACATATATGTCTTGAGCGTTGCTCACTATTTGTAATATAATATTAACACTTTTCCCCTTATTTCTGTATATCTATTTATCTTTTAAATATACATTTGTCTATAATCTATATTTTATTCTAACACTGTATATTTGTCTTGGCTACCCTCTTATTGTCTATCCAATCATAAAATTGTTCCCAGATTTTGTAGTACTTAGCTTCATTTTTATCCTTGAGTTCCAATGTAAGTCTATCCATTTCAGCGCAATTGAAATTTTCCAATAATATTTCCTCTTTGGTTGGAGTATCTTTCTCTTTCCATTTCTGAGCGAAGGCTATTCGTGCCGCTGTTACTATATACCAGTGGTTTTCAACCTGTGGGTTGGAACCCCATTTGGGGTCGAACGACCATTTCACGGGGTCGCCAAACAACGCAGTCCGCCATTTTTTCCCCTTTTCCTTAGCTGTGCTGCTCCCTCTTATTCTATTGGCTTTTGAAAGCCAATAGAATAGACTCTCTTGAATAGAGTCTAATTCTATTGGCTTTCAAAAGCCAATAGGAATTGTCCAGGCTGTCTCTGCCCTGCTGAGCCCGCCAAAAGTCCCATTCTGCAAACAGGCACCAGTTGAGTAGTCCTCGACTTACGACCGGTTGAGTAGTCCTCGACTTATGACCGGTTGGGGGTCGCAGCATTAAAAAGGTTGAGAACCACTGCTATATGCTATATGCCCATGGGGTTTTCATGGCAAAGATACTGGAGTGGTTTGCCATTTCCTTCTCCAGTGGATCACATTTTGTCAGAACTCTCTGCTATGACCTGTCCATCTTGAGTGGCCCTGCACAGCATAGCTCATAGCTTCATTGAGTTATGCAAGCCCCTTTGCTACGAGAAGGCAGTAATCCATGAAGGAGATAAAATATATAGGCTGCCCATCTTATCTCAAGGTAACTCTGGGTGCTTATTATAACATGATTATTATAACAAGCTCTTCCCCAAGGGACAATCCGAATTACAAAAAGAAATTAATCACAAAATTCCATCCAGTCAAATCAGCCTACCAAATCCTTTCCACCAAGAAATTAGTATTTCAACTAGCAATAGCACTTAGACTTATACACCACGGGTCTCCACGGTCTGGGGGGGGGGGGGAGGTTGGACCAGATGACCTACAAGGCTACCTTCCAACTCTGTTATTCTATGTCTTATTCTATGTTTCATCCCTTTGTACCAACCTCTATAAAAAAGAGAAAAGAAAGGAGGGCAAGAAGACGCTTTTGGAGACGACATGACAGTCTCTCATGGAAATTGCAGCCTTTCTTCTCTCTTTACATTGAGCACCTGCGTTGCACAAGGCATCCACCAGGGGGCTCCCTTTGCCAAGCGAAGGGAACACAGGGCGCTTCACCATTGGGCGGCTGGAGGACGAAGGCCACAGCTGGCTTTCCGGAGCAGGAGGAGGAGGAGGAGGAGGAGAGGAGGAAATGACGTCACAGAGCTTTGCCTCTCTAGGACGCTGCACTCTCTCTCCATCACCCTCTGCGCTTTGCTGCAGGTAAAAGAAAAAAAGGAGGGGAATATCTTGCAGGGGAGGCAGCTAGATGTGGCCCTAAGGGAAGAGAGGGGGGGGGTCTCTCTTCCCATGCAAAGGGAGGCTGAGGGTCCTCATCCTGGAGAAGGGAGGGACACATGCCAAGTCCTCATCCAAGTTCAGTCTTCTGAGTCCCAAGAGTGGGAGAGACCAAATCCCATGTTCCCCAGCTGCCCCCCCTTTCCATGCACACAACAGACAGTGGGTGGGGGGGGAAGCAGAGGACCAGACCAGCCTTGTTGCCCCTTCCTCGACGGAACTCAGGATTCCCAGGAAAGGGACTGGGGAAGTCCTTCCCGCCTGGTTTTCTCGGAACAGCTGTGGGGGGAAGGGGAGAGAAGAAGGAAGATCTCAAGCAAGAGATAAGAAAAGCCTTGCAAGACAGGAGACGCCCCAGATGGGACCGGATTCGCACTAGGTGCTGGCTGAGGCTCAAAAGAGAGCCAAATCCTTCACAATGGAATCTGTCTTGGGAGGGGGAGTGAAGCAGGACGATATCTCCAGACCCTGTTTGGGGGGGAGAACTTGGCTCCTACTGTTGACTGACCTTTTTGGGCTTCAGGGCATGTTGTGTGGAGATGCCAGCCTGTAAGAGTCTGTCTTGGTGCTCTAAAAGTCAGTCTTGAACAAGGGTAATGGAGCATCCTAAGCTAGTTCTTGCATTTCTGTTGAGGGGAACAGAGATTTTCTGGTTGGCTAATTTGTTTGGAGTGTTGACATGTTGCGTGAACCCGCTTGGAGGTGAATGTAGGTTTAGTTTTTAAAAAGCAAGACCTTGTGAAAAAAAAACAGAAATAGAAAATGCTCCAAATACATTAATTCAGCATGAATAGAATAGAATAGAATAGAATAGAATAGAATAGAATAGAATAGAATAGAATAGAATAGAATAGAATGACAGAGTTGGAAGGGTCCTTGGAGGTCTTCTAGTCCAACCCGTTGCTCAGGCAGGAAACCCTATACCATTTCAGACAAATGAATAGAGTTGGAAAGGACCTTGGAGGTCTTCTAGTCCAACCCCTTGCTCACCCCTATATCATTTCAGACAAATGATTGTCCAGTCTCTTCTTAAAAACTTCCATTGTTGGAGCATTCACAACTTCTGGAGGCAAGTCGTTCCATTGATTAATTGTTCTAACTGTCAGGAAATTTCTCCTTAGTTCTAAATTGTTTCTGTCCTTGATTAGATTAGGGTTAGATTTGAAGACCTCCAAGGTCCCTTCCAACTCTATTATTTGATTTTGTTCTGAATTTATTTTATTTTCTATCTTAGAGACACAAACTGAAAGCCATTTGTACTCATGTAAGGATAAAATTATCTCCTGGCTAAAGAAAGCTGAACCTCTATATCCCCACAGCTGCAGCAAGAGAAACAGTCCTTTGAATGAAACGTTTCTTGGAGATTCACATAAGAGTCCTTGGACCCATTTGGGGTTGCGTTACAGGACAGAAAGAATGGAGACCCGACCTTTAGCAAGTGAGGGAATTGGAAAAGGACTTTCAACTGTTCAGCCTGGGCGCTGTGAGGAGACCTGGTTAAGAAGTGGGCAGAAGTTCTTGGAAGAAGACACCATCATTCCTTCAGAAGTTCAGTCCTGGAACTTCAGGAGCGTCCGATATCAGGCTTCTGAGGATCCCCGAGGACTTTGCAGCCGACTCCATGACTTTTGTAATCGATGGTTCAAAGCAGAAAAGCACACCAAAGCCCAGATGCTGGACCTGGTTGTTCTGGAGCAGTTTCTGGCTCTTCTGCCCGTTAAGATGGAGAACTGGGTGCGAGAGTGTGGAGCAGAGACCAGCTCCCAGGCGGTGGCCCTGGTGGAAGGCCTTCTCCTGAGCCAAGCAGGGGAGCAGAAGGAGCAGGTGAGAGACCTTCACCTTGGGAGCCTAGAAGGGGTTGACTGGAATAAAGAATGTGGTTGAAGTCTTCACCTCTCCCTTCCAGAGGCCCAAAGGTGCTTTTTTCACGAGGCAACTGGACTTTCTTGTTTTTCTTTGAAGACGTTTCGCTTCTCATCCAAGACACTTCTTCAGCTCTGACGGGATGGTGGGGAATGGAAGGATTCATACTCCTTGCAGACAGCTGGTCGTTTGCATTCTTTTAGAGTCATTGAGGCCACTTGGAGGCTTATCTGTGTCCTCAGCGTCACCTGAGTGGTGCAAATGGGTGTGAAGCCTTCTTGGAACTGCTGAAAGGACTGTATTACACTGGAGTTAGATGATGTTGAACAGCCCTCTCTCAATAGAGGGGCGGGATATGACATCATCTATCTCCAGTATACAACACTGTCCTTTCAGCAGTTCCAAGAAGGGTCTACACCCCTTTGCCCTACTTCGCTGACCTTGAGGACACAGACAAACCTCCAAGTGGCCTCAACGTCTCTAAAAGGGTGCAAAAGACCAGCTGTCTGCAAGGAGTATAAATCCTTCTATTCCCCACCATTCAGTCAGAGCAGAAGAAGCTTCTTGGATGAGAAGCAAAACGTCTTCAAAGAAAAAGAAGAAAGTACAGTTGCCTCCTGAAGAAGCACCTTTGGGACAACCATGACCTGGATGACTAAGAATCTTCACAGACATATCCTTACTAGGGGTTTCTGGAAATCCTAATATGTGGAGATGTTTCACTAATTCTTCTAGGATATTGTTTCATTGGTGACAGATATTCCTTTCTTTCTTTTTTAATATATTTTATTAATTTTTTTTAAACAAGCATAGTCACTCAATAATTGGTAAACAGTGTGTTGTCTGGGTTACATTTGTAAAAACACTCCTTAACAATTGATTTCTATAATCTGTATTCCATATATTAATTTTAATTGATTTCCTCTTTCCCCAGAACATCCTTTTTTTTGCAAACATTTAATACAATTCTTATTGTTTTAATAAATGACAATTAAGTATATAGTTTTTCCAATATTCCTAAAAAATAATCATCATGTTACTGTAATATTTCTTTTCTTTTCAGTCATTTGGGTTGCCTTATCATCCATCCTGCTAATGATCCTTGTTTTAGTTTGTTTCTCCCACCAAGTTCTACATATTTTTAATAGTAAAGGTTTTCTCAACAATTAGTTACATTTACATTGACAGATTTAATTCTATTTTTCCCATATAAGCCATCTCAGAATTTTACATTTCTTAAAGAATAGATAAAAGAGTAAAAAGAGAGAAGAAAAAAAGAAAAATAAAGAAAAAAATAAAAAGGAAGGAAAAACCAAGAGCAACAAAACATAAGAAATAGTACACTACTTAGAATATACCTTATTTTCTGGCATATAAGATGACTTTCTAAACCATGCAAATTGTCTCCGAAGTCGGGGGTCGTCTTATACGCCGAGTCGTCTTATTCGCCGGAAAATACGGTAATTTCCGGCTTATAAGACGACTTTCTAAACCATGCAAATCATCTCCAAAGTCGGGGGTTGTCTTATACGGCGGGTCGTCTTATATGCCGGAAAATAAGGTATATCTCTCCTAAGTTAATATGTATTTATTTCCTCAGATTTCTTATTCTTTTTAACCATAGTTAAGAATATATTTGATCTTTAGACATTCCATTCAATAGATCTAGTCATCTAATCCCTTAACTCCGATTCAAAACATTTTATATGCTTTCCTTAAATTCAGTAACATTTAAATATATGAAATATTTCATCCCTCTTAAAGTGGTATATTCCAAAATTTTTCTATTTCTTTAACTATATTCAAACACATGCTTCTTTTTAAGTATTCTCTGATATGTCCCATCATCTATTCTCTTAGTTTCCATCTTAATCTTTTTTCTTTGCCCAGAATCTTTCTTAATCAATGTACTTTGCTGAATCAAAAGGTTTTCCTGTATAATCATAGGTGTTGTTGTAGATATAGAAAGTAAATCAATGTCTTTGTCATGGGCATTTGCCCACTCCTTTTTAATTAGGAATCTTTTTACTTCCTTTTCTCTCCACTTCTTTTGTCACTTTTTGTCTCTCCATCGAGTACTTCCTCTCATCCTCAAGTTTGCTTTGTAGTGTTGAAATATAAATGGTCTTTTCTTCCACTTGAATTAAATCATACTCTTTTATTTTGTGGAAGTCCATCTTTAGGTTTTTATCCTCAGATGTATATTCAGGCATCTCTGCTGTATCCTCCTGAGGGTTTTTTTGGAGTAAAATTAAATTGGAGATAAGTTGTTTTATACTTTCAAAGTTATTTTGTATTTCTTTGTGGTTTAAGATCATTGTCTTTTGAATTAGTTGCAGCTTATCATATATTTCCTCTTGTGGAGTATACATTGTTTCTGTAGGTCTCACTTCATCTGAACAGCTGTGTTGATTAAAACTTTGAAGGCCACAGGAAGAGATTTCATAATCCTCATCCTCAGTAGATGTCAGCATTTGATCATTTTTCAATTCTTTCTAGTCTTTTTTCTCCTTAAGGGGTTATATTCGCAGCTTCCAATAGCCAAAAAGGTGGGGGGGAAACCCCTCCCTTTTTCACTCTCGGAGGTATTTTTGCTTTTTGGGAGTTCTCCTTTTCAGGAAAATAAGTAGGATAGAGAAAATCAATATTCTTATCCAGATTTCAAACGCACTGCTTACGATCAGCTTAGAGTAGCGCTTTTGACTTCCGTTGCTTGCAGCTGGGGCTAGACAATGGAATTAGCTAGTCTTTCTCCTGTTGGTTTCTGGAGGGCTTCTCCTGGACCGATCAGGGAGACCGCCGTCTTTCCTAGGTCCCTAGGTCTACCTTCCTTCATTGCCACTTCTCCGGGGCGCCTTCTGGCCCATTTAGGGTCCCCAAACAGAAAGAAACTCAGCTGGAGGACATCCCGAACCTCTCAACTGATTTCGCTGCTCACAGGAAGCAAAAGTCCCAACAGATATTCCTTTCTTACTTTCCAGTCTCACTGATGAACATTGGAGACTTTCAAGAATCCATCCGTGTGTTGTGTTGTCCACTAATTCTTCCTTTCTCCTGTCTCCTATTTCAAGTCCTTCACAATGGACATCAGAGATTCAGAGGGAAGCAGGAATCCATCAAATTCTCCTCAGGAGTTGTTTTTGAGGAGCGTTTCTCTGGAAGATCCGAGTCTGGACACCTTGGGAGGTAATCAAAGGTCCTCAATTCTCCAGAAAGTCCCAAACTCTCTCCTCTTCTGTAAAATCTCTCTTCCTGTGTTATTAATTATGCTTTTCAAAATTCTGTTTTTCCTCACAGGGAAGACTCCAGTGGAGTTGTCTGCTCTGTACGGTGCAGCTGAAACAGTGTTTGAACCTCCATCTCAAGTAAGAGGAGCAAATTCCCTAATAGAATAGAATAACAGAGTTGGAAGGAACCTTGCAAGTCATCTAGTCCAACCCCCTGCCTGAGCAGGAGACCCTACACCATTTCTGACAGATGGCAGTCCAGTCTCTTCTTGAAAGCCTCCAGTGATGAAGCTCCCACAACTTCTGAAGCCAGGCTGTTTCATTGGTTGATTGTTCTCACTGTCAGAAAATTTCTCCTTATTTCTAGGTTGAATCTCTCCTTGATCAGTTTCCATCCATTATTCCTTGTCAGGTGCTTTGGATAATAGCTTGACCCCCTGCTCTCTGTGACAGCCCCTCAAATATTGGAACACTGCTATCATGTCACCTCTGGTCCTTCTCTTCACTAGACTAGTCATGCCCAGTTCCTATAACCATTCTTCACATATCTGAGCCTCCAGTCCCCTAATCATCTTTGTTGCTCTTCTCTGCACTTTTTCTAGAGTCTCAGCATCTTTTTATACTATGGTGACCAAAATTGGATGCAGTATTCTAAGTGTGGTCTTACTAAGGTCTTTTAGGTTTATTAGATTCAAATTCTCCCTTTCCTTCAGGAAGTCACAATGGTACACAATGCACTCTCTCCTTCCATTCTCTAGAAAAAGTGCAGAGGAGAGCAACAAAGATTATTAGAGGTTTAGAGGCTAAACTGTACAATGGATGGCTGTGGAAACTAGATATGTCTAGTCTAGCAAAGAAGAGGTTTGGGATAACGTGACAGCAATTTCCCAATACTTGAGGGCAGTCACAGCGAAGAGGGGATCAAGCCGTTCTCCAAAGCAACTGAGAGCAGGACAAAAAGTAACGAATGGAAGATTATCAAGGAGAGAAGCAACCTAGAACTAAGGAGGAATTTCCTGACGGTGAAAACAATCAATCCTTGGAATGGCTTTCCTCCAGAAGCTGTGGATGCTCCATCACTGGAGGTTTTCAAGAAGAGATTATACAAAAATTTGTCCAGAATGGTACAGGGCCTCCTTCTTGAGCAGAGGGTTGGAATAGAGAAGCTCCAAAAACCCTTCCATCTCTGATACTCTATGATTCTGTAATTCTTTCTTCTTCTGGCTTGGATATTTTTGTATTCATGAGCAAAATGTTATGGGGAATAGAAGATTCAAGTTGCTCTCAGTCAGCTTTGCTCCCTCTGAAGTCTATTCTTTGGATACAATGGTTTGTAAATTCTACCTTGAGATTTATATTAGGAAATCTTTTTTTTTGAAGACCAGTACTTAACTCCCCCTTTTTCTAGATACCTTTCCTACTATTAGTTACACCCACTCTTGAGTCCTTCAAGAGATAGGAATATCACATGGGAAGCAAGTACTAAACTGCACCTATTCGTTTTGTAATTATTCTTTGATTTGGAATTGTGCAAGATTGTTCAAAAATACATAAAAACTCAAATAGTACAATACCATTTTTAAAAAGCCTTGTCTACAACCAGTGAAAAGATTAAAAGATAAGGCAGAAGATTAAAGTCCAATGAAGGTAACCAAATAGAAAAATCTCTTAAGTAAAAATTGTCATGCATGTAATCAAAGAACTTTTGACTTGCAAAGTAATTTCTATTCCTCTGACTTGTGTCTGGATTTGGAGGCCAAACTATCCTGCTTTGTAAAATTTTCTTCAATCCCAGGAATTTTTCTCCGCTTTCTCACCTTCAATTCAACCAATGACTCAGATAGATGATTGATTGATTGATAGAGATAGGTAGATAGATGAGAGAGAGATGAGAGAGTGATGATAGATAGACATGAGAGAGAGATATGATAGATAGATAGATAGATAGATAGATAGATAGATAGATAGATAGATAGGATATACATTGAGAGATGATAATGATGGATGATAGAGAAAGAGAGGATGGTAGGTAGACAGACGGATAGACAGACAGACAGCCAGAGATAGATAGATAGATAGATAGATAGATAGATAGATAGATAGATAGATAGATAGATGAGAGAGATGAGAGTGATGATAGAGAGAGAGAGACAAATGGACAGACAGACAGACCAGGATAAGATGATAGAGATAAGAGAGATGATAGATAGATAGATAGATAGATAGATAGATAGATAGATAGATAGATAGATAGATAGATAGGATATATATTGAGAGATGATAATGATGGATGATAGAGAAAGAGAGGATGGTAGGTAGACAGACGGATAGACAGACAGACAGCCAGATAGATAGATAGATGATAAGGAAACTAGGATTACTTTCCTTAAATGGCACTGAAAGTCTTGCCAATCAATCATCAATTAAACTTGCCTGAATTATTTCTTCACTCAAAGGCTTTTGATACAGTTTTTATCACCTAAAACAGTGGTGGCGAACCTATGGCACGCGTGCCAGAGGCGGCACTCAGAGCCCTCTCTGTGGGCACTTACACCATGCCCACCATACCGTCCATCTTCAACCAGCTGCCTGCTAACTCGCCAAGGTCCCACATGGCTAGATGTATCCCAGCACTCATGTGCACACTGGCTGGCCTCTGTGTGGTGTGCAGGGGCTGATGGTATCAGGCAGCAGCTGCCCCGGCCCCTGGCTCACCTTGCCCTGTGACAATGGCACCCCCGCCCTGCCTCACCTTGTCTCACCTCACCCCGCAGGACGAGCCTCCTGCCCACCGCCCCAACTGCCAGAGACCCCCTGGATCTCCCCCAACCCTGCCCGGCCCCCATAGGCATCCCTCCCCACGAGCAACATTGAAGTGATCATGCCCACCTTGGCCACACCCACCTAATCTGTCATGACCACCACAGCCACCCAGTGGGCTACGCCCATCTGGCACCCGGCGATAAATAAGTGGGCTTCGGGTTGCAGTTTGGGCGCTCAGTCTCTAAAAGGTTGGCCATCACTGACCTAAAACTTTGGAATCCTACCAAGCTGAGCCATTCAACTTAGTGCATGTCTTTCCTTTGGGAATTTGTGCGTAATGGGATAGACCTTCCAAATCCTCCTTGACACTGTTCGTTTCTTGGTTTTCCTTGTTCAGGAGGGTCTGGTGTCCTTCGAGGAGGTGGCTGTGTATTTCTCCAAGGAGGAGTGGTCTCAGCTGGATTCTGACCAAAAAGCGCTCCATTGGGAAGTCATGCTGGAAAATTATAGGAATGTGGCCTCTCTGGGTAAGCAAGTTTGCTATTCGCCCATCAGAGAGTTTAGTAATTAAATGCCATCTGCTGTTTCTTATTAGAAGGTCTCCATCCATCCAACCCTCCCCACACCTATGTATCTATTAACTGCTCTTTGTGGTTTAAAGTTTTTCCATCTGTAATGATGGCATTTGAAAGTCCTAATGGTATCAGAGGGATTTGGCTGTTAGAGAATTGGGCCATCTGATGAGCCAGGTTCTCAAGTAATGAGACCTTTCACTCAGGGGATTCTTCCCACCCCCCACCCCCAATTTTCTCCAAGGCTTCCTTTTGTAAGTTCTGCCCAGAAAATGCAGGGACATCTGAGGATGAATGAACATACCCCATCTGAGTACTATTTTTTTCAGTGCTTGAGATGAAGTTCCCAGGTTCAAATCCACCAGTGTGTCCAGACTGAAATTAAACCAATGGGTCCCCATCATCAAGCCCATTATTATGCTTGCTTCCTTGGAACTGAATCTAGAGCAGTAGACAGGATGGTGCCCCACCACCTGTCTAAACTTTTCTGGGTTGCCGGCCTGGAGGGAAAGGGAGGGGCAGGTACCTTTGCTCAGCCATGCGCACATGTGAATGGGGCCGCACACATGCACAACACTCACAGTGACACTAAGGCTGGTGCAATATTTTAACAGCGATGTTAGTGCTCGTGTGACACGGCGACGCTAAGGCCTGTGTGATGTTTGCGGTGATGTTAGCACCCACATGATGCTCGTGGCCGCACTAGCAGCCACTCAACACTCATGGTGATGCTAGCAGGAGTGGGAGGGTGAGTTTGCATGCACACACACATGCACACTGGCTAGCCACTCACACGGTCCTGTTGTGGGCCGCAGACCACAGGTTGGAGACTCCTGGTCTAAATAATCTTAATAAAGGAGAATATTTGTAGCTCATGGTTGAAATGAGGGTAATAATAATAATAATAATAACAAAAAAGTCTGGATAGTGGACGTGGCAGTGCCTGGAGTTAGCAGAATAGAAGAGAAAGAACTGGAGAAGATAACAAAATACAAAGACCTACAAATAGAAATAGAAAGACTATGGCAAAAGCAAGCAAGGGTAGTACCAATAGTCATAGGCTCCTTGGGTGCAATCCCAAAACAACTGGAGCACCACTTGAACACCATTGGCATTGACAAATTCGCTATTAGTCAATTGCAAAAGGCGGCCTTACTAGGAACTGCTTCCATCCTGCGACGATATCTGTAATACCATCAAACATCCAACATCTGCCTATCCCAGGTCCTGGGTAAGGACTCGATAGGTAGACAAAATGCCAAATCCAGTCTGAACATCTGGCTGACTGTGCGATGATCGATAATAATAATAATAATAATAATAATAATAATAATAATAATAATAATAATAATAATAATAATAATATTAAAAAGTTGGACGGGACCTTGGAGGTCATCTAGTCCAATCCCCTGCTCAGGCAGGAAACCCTATACCATTTCAGACAAATGGCTGTCCAGTGTCTTCTTAAAAACTTCCAGTATTGGAGCATTCACCACTTCTGGAGGCAGGTTGTTCCACTGGTTAATTGTTCTGTCAGGAAGTTTCTCCTAGGTTGCTTCTCTCCTTCATTAGTTTCCATCCGTTGCTTCTTGTCCTACCTTTAGGCGCCTTGGAAAATAGCTTGACTCCCTCTTCTTTGTGGCAGCCCCTGAGATATTGGAATACTGCTATCATGTCCCCCCTCGTCCTTCTCTTCATTAAATCCTTGGTGCTTTCTGAGCTTGGTTGTTTTCTTGCAGTTGTCTCATTACCCACACTGGGTAACATCAGCAGTGCCAGTAAGGAGTGAGAACAACCTCTATTCCTTACTAGCACTGATGATGTTATCTAGTTTGAGTAATGAAATGTCTGCAAGAAAACAACCAAGCTCAGAGAGCAGAACCCCTCAGGTTTTTCGTTCTTCAGCATGGGGGACAAGAGAAACCCCAACCTCAGATCTTATATCAACCCAGTTGTAAGGAGCTGCCTCAGCTAAGCCACCCAAGAAAGCAGAACTGTTGAAACAGGCATTGTCTCAAAAGGAACTTTTATTAGCGGCTTGTGATAGCAGGGAAAACAAGGCAAGGTCTGAGGAAAAACCCATGGAAGCGATATAATAAAAGCATTATTCAATATTCCTCCCTCCAGAATCCAGTGTTCATTTGATTCCAATCAATACACAGGTGGAATAGTGTTTTAACTGGCTTCTTTGGCACATTCTTTCAAGGTCTCTCTGGCTTTCCTTTCCCTCTGGCTCCAAGCACAACCATCTCTCAGATAAGGGTGATGCATTCCATCCCCTTGGGGAAGGGCACAATAGCCGGACAGTGCAAAATATCCCCAAGACATCCCCCGTCCGAACAGAATGGCAGGCCACAAAGATTCAGGAATAGACATAAGGAAACAATAATATTCTTTGGGGACCTGACACCAGTACCAGGCATCACCCCATGTTTTGAACATACCCTGGCAGACGCAAGCAGAAGAATCACAAAAAGAGCTAAAAGGAAGATTTGAGAGGGTGGGGGCATAATTTTGGTTAATGTTCAAATAAGTGATGCAACAATGAGGAGGCCTGATCCTGTTTGCACCTCACTTTATGTCAACTTTTCTTTTTTTCTTTTCTTTTTTTCTGCTCCAAGCAGGTGATGAATGGGAGATGATGGTCCAAGAAGTGGCAGCACCATTGCCAAAAGGCAGAATGAAAGAGGCAGAGACATTTTTTGGAAAGCAAAGTTCTGAGGAAAAACAATTAAAGGGGGAGCTAGAGAGATGCTCTACTTTACCACATGTTGCTGTCAGTGACTTCTCGGGCAAAGATGATCGGCCAGAAAAAGAGGGTTGCCCAGAGTGTGGAAAAATACCCCCAGACGAATCAGGATTATATGACTGTTGCAGAAGCCACACAATAGAGAAAAAAAATGAACGTGGAAAACGTTTCCAAAGGACGTTCTCGGTTACTTTACCTCAGAGAATACAAGGAGAGAAACCATTTAAATGCCTGGATTGTGGAAAAAGCTTCAGAGACTCAAATTATCTTACTTCCCATAAAAGGATTCACACAGGAGAAAAACCATACAAATGCTGGCAATGCGGAAAAAGTTATCGTTTTCCACAAAGCCTCACTTCCCATTATAGGATTCACACAGGTGAGAAACCATATGAATGTCCCAAGTGTGGAAAGGCCTTTAGACTAAGATGTCAATATATTGTACATAATCAAAACCACACTGGAGAGAAACCATATAAATGTACGGAGTGTGGAAAATGCTTCACTAATTCAAGTTCCCTCACTTCCCATAAGAGAATCCACACCGGAGAAAAACCATATAAATGCCCTGAGTGTGGAAAGAGCTTCGGAGCTTCAAGTTCTCTTACTGCTCACAAAATGATCCACACCGGGGAGAAACCCTACAAATGCAAAAACTGTGCAAAAAGCTTCAGACAAAAATATCAATATGTTGTACATAACAGAATCCACACTGGGGAGAAACCGTATAAATGCTCGGAGTGTGGAAGATGTTTCACTATGTCAAGTTCCCTCACTTCCCATCAAAGGAGCCACACTGGGAAAAATCATACATTTGTCTGGAGTGTGGAAAGGGGTGAACTCAACGTCAGTCCCTTTATGAGCACAGACAAGAACCATATAAACAAATTGTCAGAAATTTGGGACTCTTGAGCTATTTATTACTGTGGAGAAATGAAATGTTAGGAAATGAAGGGAAGATAAGAAGGAACGACTATTCTGAAGAGAGTGGAGAATAATAACTACAATTGGTTTTTCTGAATAATGCTGAGCATTTGTCCATACAGAGCCCCGAATATACTCTTTCTTGGAAGACCCACTTTGGAACCCTTCATTTTTTGCATCTGTCCATTTATTGGCCACTAGAAGCACGTAACATAGTTACATAATAATGACTCTGGCCTTTGACTTTGCTGTTTTTGCTACTTACATCTCCATCATTGAACATTAATTACAAGGGTGGTCAACACTTTCATTTCTGCAATAGTGGCAAATATCTGTAGCTCGGGTGTAGGATGAGGGTGAAGGTTTGTTTTCCGATCTTATAGGTTGGTTTCTGAACATTTCATTACCAGGCTAGGTAACATCTTCAGCGGAGTTTAGAGGATGTCAGGGTTAAGTGTTTATAAGGGCTTCAGATGTGGGCGTGTAAAGAGAGGGTCAGAGAAGAGCAACTAAGATGATCAAAGGTCTGGCGACTAAAAATATGAAGAACGGCTCAGGACTTGAGTTTGGCTAGTCTAAAGAAATAATAATAAAGTTGGAAGGGACCTTGGAGGTCATCTAGTCCAACTCCCCTGCTCAGGCAGGAAACCTTATACCATTTCGGACAAATGGCTGTCCAGTCTCTTCAGTATTGGAGCATTCACCACTTCTGGAGCCACTGGTTAATTGTTCAAACTGTCAGGAAGTTTCTCCTTAGTTCTAGGTTGCTTCTCTCCTTGATTAGTTTCCATCTGTTGCTTCTTGTCTTGCCTTCAGGGGCTTTGGAAAATAGCTTGACTCCCTTTTCTTTGTGGCAGCCCCTGAGATATTGGAACACTGCTATCATGTCCTTCTCTTCTTTAAACTAAACATACCCAATTCCAGCAACCTCAAGCATCTAGAACAGTATTCTTCAACTTTTGTAACTGTGAGATAAGTGGACTTCATTTCCCTGAAATCTTCATGGTGGCTGATGCAAAGACTGATGCAAAGAATGAGTTAAGCAGCTCTGCTTTCTCCCTAATGCCTGTTACTTCCTTGCCACCTTTCATTTTCTTTTCTGCTGTCTCCTTTGTTGCAGAAAAAGGCAGCGAAACCCCACTTCTACCATGCTGCACCTCTATTGCGCAGTCGTCCTTGGCTTAGCTCAGAGGTAGGCAACCTTGGCTCTTTTATAACTCGTAGACTTCCACTCCCAGCTAACTCAGGAATTCTGGGAGTTGAAATCCACAAGTTATAAAAGAGCCAAGGTTGCCTACCCCTGGTTTAGCCAAACCTAGCGCTACTGTGGGAGACGGGATCCTCCACTAGGAAATGGCCCACCTGTCAACACTGCCAACATTAGACGTTCCTGCTTTGACAAGAGATGAAAATGCAGCCATCTTCGCTTGCACTTTAATCTGCTTTCTTGCTTTTAGAATTAGTTGCTGGAGGATAGGGGGGATTGGGATGCGAGCTCAATTAGCCATAGTAATAACTCTGCCATGGGAACCCAAGGACAAGCTGGGTTCTGAACTGATAATGTTTTGGCGGGCTGGAAAGCTGGGGAGAAAGCCCGTGCTTTAAGCTAATTGGGGAATGTGCTCTATGACTGTTTATTGGGGGTGGGAATTGTACTTACTTTGTATCCAGGGGAAGGGAATTTAGTTTTTGGGTTCAACTATGTAGTGCCTATACTTTGTTTCCTGAATAAAAGATTCTTTAAGGAAAATCATGCCTCAAAGTTCTTTTGAGGGTTTCATCTATCGGAACCATGGCACCACCCACCAGGGCAGCTGGTTGGTTCGGTTGCCTGTCCTGCAGGAGGTTGGAGGTGTGCGGGGTCGGAAGTGGGAGCGCATAAAATGTATAAGGAGATCTGATCACACATGAAGGGTAGCAGTGTATTTTAATGACAACATTCATCTTCCTGACCTCAAAAGGAGGTATCTGCATCTATCCAGAATTTGCTACTATTTTTTCTTCTCTGAGATCACACCTGGACTTCGAGGATAGCAAACTCCTATCTGAGTGTGTGATGCTGTCTGAGCTTGGTTCTTTTCTTGCAGACGTTTCGTTACTCAAACTAGGTAACATTATCAGTAATGAAGGCAAATCTATGAGTCCCAGGATGATGTTGCAGGATCCAATCTGAGTCGGTCACCAGGACCTGAGGTTTTCTCTTCCGAGCTTTCAGATTCGTGCTGGAGCTCATCTTCCTGGAACTTTTCTCTAGCCAAAGAAGTCCCCTGAAGATGGGCTCCAGTACAACTTTGAAAGCTTGGAAGAAAGAAACTCTGGTAATACTAATAGTAGTAAAGTTGGAAGGGACCTTGGAGGTCGTCTAGTCCAACCTCCTGCTCAGGCAGGAAAGTCTATACCAGTGGTTCTCAACCTGTGGGTCGGGACACCATTTGGGGTCGAACGACCATTTCACGGGGGTCGCCAAACAACGCAGTCCGCCATTTTTTTCCCCCTTTTCCTTAGCTGTGCTACTCCCTTTTATTCTATTGGCTTTTGAAAGCCAATAGAATTGACTCTCTTGAATAGAGTCTAATTCTATTGGCTTTCAAAAGCCAATAGGAATTGTCCAGGCTGTCTCTGCCCTGCTGAGCCCGCCAAAAGTCCCATTCTGCAAACGGTGCCGCACCAGTTGAGCAGTCCTCAACTTACGACCGGTTGAGTAGTCCTCGACTTACGACTGGTTGGGGATCGTGGCATTAAAAAGGTTGAGAACCACTGCTCTATACCATTTTGGACAAATGGCTGTCCAGTCTCTTCTTAAAAACTTCCAGTGTTGGACCGTTCACCGCTTCTGGAGGCAAGTTGTTCCACTGATTAATTGCTCTAATTGTCAGGAAATTTCTCCTTAGTTCTAGGTTGCTTCTCTCCTTGATTAGTTTTCATCCGTTGCTTCTGGTCCTGCCTTCAGTGACCAACTCAGACTGGATCCTGCAACATCATCAATGCTAATATTGATCTAGCATTGAACTAGCACTGATGCTGTTAGCTAGTTAAGGGTAATGAAATGTCTGCAAGAAAACAAGCAAGCTTAGAGAGTGTCAGGGAGCCCTCATTGCAACCCTGAGCTAGAAATATTCTCCTTTATTGAAATCCCAAAGGATTCAACAGTTCCAAGAAGGCTCCATACCCATTTGCACTACATTTGAGGACACAGATAAACCTCGGAGTGGCCTCAACGACTCACTAAAAGAATGCAAATATCCAGCTGTCTGCAAGGAGTATAAATCCTTCCATTCCCCACCATTAAGTCAGAGCTGAAGAAGCTTCCTGGAAGAGAAGCGAAATGTCCTCAAAGAAAAATAAGGAAGACCAGTTGCCTCGTGAAAAGGCATGTTTGGGACAATTATGACCTGGATGGCTGAGAATTTCCACAGTCCTTTTATTGAAACTCCTACCTTTCAAACACTAGTTCTGTTCAGAAGATCTAAATTTGATTTTTCAAGCAATATGAACAGCAACACCTTAAGTAGTCATTATACATTTACAGCCTAGCAATTTTAATGATTTCCCTTATCCCCATATTTTGTCCCGTCGTAACAACCTGTATATATATAAAAAAGGAGGGCTACAAGACGCCTTTGGAGAAGACATGACAGCCTCTCACGGAAAACGCAGCCTTTCTCCTCTCTTTACCTTGAGCACCTGCGTTGCACAAGGCAACCACCAGGGGGCCCCCTATGCCAAGCGACGGGAACACAGGGCGCTTCACCATAGGGTGGCAAGGAGGAGGAGAGAAGGGAATGACATCACAAAGATTTGCCTCTCTAGGACTCTGCACTCTCTCTCCATCACCCTCTGCGCTTTGCTGCAGGTAAAAGAAAATAAAAAGGCGGGGGGAATGTCTTGCAGGGGAGGCAGCCAGATGTGGCCCTAAGGGAGGAGAGGGGGGGGTCTCTCTTCCTATGCAAAGGGAGGAGGAGGGTCCTCATCCTGGAGGAGGGAGGGACACATGCCAAGTCCTCATCCAAGTTCAGTCTTCTGAGTCCCAAGAGTGGGAGAGACCAAATCCCATGTTCCCCAGCTGCCCCCCCTTCCCATGCACACAACAGACACGTGGGTGGGGGGGGGGAAGCAGAGGATCAGACTAGCCTTGTTGCCCCCTCCTTGACGGAACTCAGCATTCCCAGGAAAGAGGTGGGGACTGGGGAAGTCCTTCCCGCCTGGTTTTCTGGGAACAGCTGGGGGGGGGGGGAAGGGGAAGGGGGGAGAAGAAGGAAGATCTCAAGCAAGAGATAAGAAAAGCCTTGCAAGACAGGAGGTGCCCCAGATGGGCCCGGATTCGCACTAGGTGCTGGCTGAGGCTCAAAAGAGAGCCAAATCCTTCATAATGGAACCTGTCTTGGGAGGGGGAGTGAAGCAGGACAGTATCTCCAGACCCTGTTTGGGGGGTGAACTTGGCTCCTACCGTTGACTGACCCTTTTGGGCTTCAGGGCATGTTGTGTGGACATGCCTGCCTGTAAGAGTCTGTCTTGGTGCTCCAAAGGTCGGTCTTGAAAAAGGGCAATGGAGCATCCTAAGCCAGGGTCATGTCCTTGGCTTTCATTTGAGATGAATTGAGATTTTATGGTTGGCTAATTTGGAGTTTTGACATGTTGTGTGAACCCTGCTTGGAGGTGAATGTAGGTTAATGTTTTAAAAAGCAAGACCTTCCTTGTGAAAAAAAAAATTGAAAATGCTCCAAATATATTCAGCATTCGAAGAATAGAAGAGAAGAGAATAATTGGAAGGGATCTTGGAGGTCTTCTAGTCCAACCTATACCATTTCAGACAAATGATGGTCCAGTCTCTTCTTAAAAACTTCCATTGTTGGAGCATTCACAACTTCTGGAGGCAAGTCATTCCATTCATTAATTGTTCTAACTTTCAGGAAATTTCTCTTTAGTTCTAGGTTGCTTCTCTCCTTGATTAGATTAGGGTTGAGTTAGAAGACCTCCAAGGTCCCTTCCAACTCTATTATTCGGTTCTGTTCTGAATTTATTTTCTTTTCCATCTAAGAGACACAAACTCATGTATGGATAAAATTATCTCTTGACTAAAGAGGGCTGAACGTCTAACTATCACCATATAGCTGCAGCAAGAGAAACAAGTCCTTTGAATGAAAGGTTGCTTGGAGAGTCCTTGGACCCATTTGACCTTGTGCCTTGCGTTACAGGACAGAGAAAGAATGGAGACCCAACCTTTAGCAAGTGAGGGAATTGGAAAAGGACTTTCAACTGTTCAGCCTGGGCGCTGTGAGGAGACCTGGTTAAGAAGTGGGCAGAAGTTCTTGGAAGAAGACACCATCATCCCTTCAGAAGTTCAGTCCTGGAACTTCAGGAGCGTCCGATATCAGGCTTCTGAGGATCCCCGAGGACTTTGCAGCCGACTCCATGACTTTTGTAATCGATGGTTCAAAGCAGAAAAGCACACCAAAGCCCAGATGCTGGACCTGGTGGTTCTGGAGCAGTTTCTGGCCCTTCTGCCCATTAAGATGGAGAGCTGGGTGCGAGAGTGTGGAGCAGAGACCAGCTCCCAGGCGGTGGCCCTGGTGGAAGGCCTTCTCCTGAGCCAAGCAAGGGAGCAGAAGGAGCAGGTGAGAGACCTTCACCTTGGGAGCCTAGAAGGGGTTGACTGGAATAAAGAATGTGGTTGAATTCTTCACCTCTCCCTTCCAGAGGCCCAAAGGTGCTTTTTTCACGAGGCAACTGGACTTTCTTGTTTTTCTTTGAAGACGTTTCGCTTCTCATCCAAGATGCTTCTTCAGCTGTGACGGGATGATGGGGAATGGAAGGATTTATACTCTTTGCAGACAGCTGGTTGTTCGCATTATTTTGAGTCTTTGAGGCCACTTAGAAATTTATCTGTGTTCTCAGGGTCAACTGAGTGGTGCAAATGGGTCTGAAGCCTTCTTAGAATTGCTGAAAGGACTGTGTATTACACTGGAGTTAGATGATGTTGAACAGCCCTCTCTCAGTAGAGGGAAGGGACATGACATCATCTATCTCCAGTATACAACACAGTCCTTTCAGCAGTTCCAAGAAGGGTCTACAACAATTTGCACTACTCAGCGGACCTTGAGGAGGCAGACAGACCTCCATGTAGCCTCAGTGATTCTCTAAAAGAATGCAAATGATCAGCTGTCTGCAAGGAATATAAATCCTTCCATTTCCCACCAATCAATCAGCTGAAGAAGCTTCTTGGATGAGAAGCAAAATGTCTTCAAGGAGAAAAAAAGTCCAGTTGCCTCTTGAAAAAGCGATTTTGGGACAACCATGACCTGAATGACTGAGACTCTCCATAAACATCTCCCTACCAAGTTTCTGGAAGTCATAAGTGGAAATGTTTCATTAATTATTGTAAGATATTGTTTCATTACCTGTTATAAAAAATTGATGACAGACATTCCTTTCTTACTTTCCAGCCTCACTGATGAACCTTGAAGGCTTTCAAGAATCCACTTTGTGCTATGTGTTGTCCACTAATTCTTCCTTTCTCCTGTCTCCTATTTCAAGTCCTTCACAATGGACATCAGAGATTCTGAGGCAAGCAGGAATCCATTAAATCCTCCTCAGGAGTTGTTTTTGAGGAGCGTTTCTCTGGAATATCCAAGTCTGGACACCTTGGGAGGTAATCAAAGGTCCTCCATTCTCCAGAAAGTGCCAAATTCTCTCCTCTTCTGTAAAATTCTCTTCCTATATTATTAATTATGCTTTTTACAATTCTGTTTTTCCTCACAGGGAAGACTCACAGGGAAGTGGAGTTGTCTGCTCTTTATGATGCAGCTGAAACAGTGGTCAAACCACCAACTGAAGTAAGAGGAACAAATTTACTTATTAGATTCAAATTTTCTCTGCCATTCAATGGTACACAGTGCACTCTCTCCTTCCATTCTCTAGAAAAAGTTCAGAGAAGAGCAACAAAGATGATTAGAGGTTTGGAGGCTAAACTGTACAATGGATAGTTGTGGAAACTAGACATGTCTATCTAGCAAAGAAGAGGACTGGGTTGACATGACAGCAGTTTCCCAATACTTGAGAGCAGTCACAGCGAAGAGGGGGTCAAGCCATTCTCCAAACAACTGACAGCAAGACAAAAAGTAATGAATGGAAGATAGAGAAGCTAGTAGAGAAGCAATCTAGAACTAAGGAATTTCCTGACGTTGAGAATAATTAATCCGTGGAACAGCTTGCCTCCAGAAGCTGTGGATGCTCCATCACTGAAGGTTTTCAAGAAGAGATTAGACAAAAATTTGTCCAGAATGGTATAGAGCTTCCTTCCTGAGCAGAGGGTTGGAATAGAGGACCTCCAAGGCCCCTTCCATCTCTGATACTCTATGATTCTGTAATTCTTTCTTGTTCTGGCTCGGATATTTTTGTATTCCTGAGAAACATGGTATGGGGCATAGAAGATTCAAGTTGCTCTTAGTCAACTTAGCCCCCTCTGAAGTGTATTGTTGGGATACAATGGTTTGTAATTTTTATCTTGAGTTTCACATTAAGAAATCTTTTTTTAAAAAAAGTACTTAACTACCCCCCTCTTCTAGATACTTTTCCTACTATTAGTTTACACACACTAACTTTTTAAAGAGTCCTTCAAGAAATAGGAATATCACAATGGCAGCAAGTGCTAAACTGCACCTATTCTTTTTGTAATTCTTTGACAAGATTGTTAACAAATGCATAAACATTCATATAGCGCAATACCATGTTTAAAAAGCTTTGTCATACATAAACACATCAGATTAAAAGTTTAGGCAGAAGATTAAAATGTAGTGAAGGTAGCCAGATACCTTTGATTACATCAAAGCACTTTTGGCTTGCAAAGTAATCTCTAATCCTCTGAGTTGTTTCTGGATTTGAAGGCCAAACTATCCTGCTTTGTAAAATTTCCTTCAATCCCAGGAAATTTTCTCTACTTTCTCATCTTCAATTCAGCCAATGAATTGATGATAGATGAGATGATTGATTGATTGATTGATTGAGATAGGTAGATAGATAGATGAAAGAGAGATGTGTGTGTGAGAGAGAGAGAGAGAGAGAGAGAGAGAGAGAGAGAGAGAGAGATGACAGATGAGAGAGTGATGATAGAGAGACAGATGGACAGATAGACAGAGATAGTTAAATGATAGATAGATAGATAGATAGATAGATAGATAGATAGATAGATAGATAGATAGATAATAAGGAAACTAGGATTACTTTCATTGAATGGCACTGAAAGTCTTGCCACATCAATCATCGATTAAACTTGCCTGAAATATTTCTTCACTCAAAGGCTTTTGATCTATTTTTATCACCTAAACCTTGGAATCCTACCAAGCACAATCATTCAACTAGTGCATGTCTTTCCTTTGGGAATTTGTGCGTAATGGGATAGACCTTACAAATCCTCCTTGACCCTGTTCGTTTCTTTGTTTTCCTTGTTCAGGAGGGTCTGGTGTCCTTCGAGGAGGTGGCTGTGTATTTCTCCAGGGAGGAGTGGTCTCAGCTGGATTCTGACCAAAAAGCGCTCCATTGGGAAGTCATGCTGGAAAATTATAGGAATGTGGCCTCTCTGGGTAAGCAAGTTTGCTATTCGCCCGTCAGAGAGTTTAGTAATTAAATGCCATCCGCTGTTTCTTCTTAAAAGGTCTCCAAAGAGATATCATCTCTTGGGAAGAAGCAAGAGATCTAGCCTTTTTCTACTCCAAGGAAGGAAGTTTATCAGTCTATCTGTCTGTCCATCCGACCGTCTGGCCGGCCGACTGACGGGCTGGCCGGCTAGCCACCTATCATCTATCTATCTATCTATCTATCTATCTATCTATCTATCTATCTATCTATCTATCTATCTATCTATCTATCATCCATCTATCTAGCCGGCCGGCCGGCCGGCCAGCCAGCCAGCCAGCCACCTATCATATCTATCTATCTATCTATCTATCTATCTATCTATCTATCTATCTATCTATCTATCCATCCATCCATATTTCATGTTTCTAGCCACCCAGAGTCACCCTACTGGGAATATGGGAGGCATACAAATTTAATACATATACTAAGCAAACATTTCAGTGCATAAAAATATTGACTATCTACGAGTGCAATTCGGAAATAAACCTCCGTTCGGTTATCAATGACAGACGCTCGCAGATACAGAACGTTTATTACGTTAGAAAACTACAACATTACATTCCTTTTGGACATCATCGCTATTCAAATTGAGGCACTTGTCATAATGTCTTACAAGGTTTGAAATTCCTTAGTAGTAGTTGCTCGGCACCAAATCTGGGCGATGGGGGCGGTGATCAAAAGCATCCCAATGGAACTGCTTGAAAAGTTCTTGGGTGCGTCTAGCAGTGTACGGGCGAGTATTATCATGAACCAACACCACACCGGAAGTTAGCTGTCAAGACTGCTAACATCGGGTATTCTTGCTTGCCATATATGAAGAAGCAAGCCTGTTTTGTTTAGCCTGTATAGCATTTTTAGAGTTAAAGCAGATAATACTAGTGGATGGGAAAATATCTCAGCACAGTATTGCCAAGGTCAGCTGCAATGGGAGGGGCACTTCACTCTTCACTTTAATTGGAGAATGTGATTGATGATTGTGGAATGAGGCAGTGAATTATGCTTTGTTACAGGGGATTGGGGGAGGGTTCAGTTTTTGGCTTAACTTTTGTGTGTGCCGAAACTATGCAGAAATAAAAGGATTCTTTAAGGTAAATAAACCTCAAAGTTCTTTGAAAAGCTGCTTCTTTTCGGAACCATGTCATTAGCATGCCCCGATGCTTGTTATAAATGGCTCGTCTGAATTTTCGTAACGTTTCACAATAAACATTTGAATTGATGGTCAAACCATGCTCCTTGAACTCACTAGCAGTACCCCTTTGGCATCTTCACATTTGGTGGGATTTTCTATGGCACCACTTCCAATCTGGTGTTGGTTCATGATAATGCTTGCCCCCACACTGCTAGACGCACCCCTGGTCTAAATGATCTTAATAAAGGAAAATATTTGTACCTCATGGTTGAAATGAGGGATTATTGGTGCTTTCTGAGTTTGGTTATATTCTTGCAGACGTTTCATTACCCAAACTGAGTAACATCATCAGTGCCAGTAAGGAGTGAGAACAAACCCTACTCCTTACTAGCACTGATGATGTTACCTAGTTTGGGTAATGAAACAACTGCAAGAAAACAAGCAAGTTTAGAGAGCAGAACCCCTCAGGTTTTTCATTCTGTAACATGGGGGACAAGAGAGACCCCAACATCAGATCTTATATCAACCCGATACCAGGCATCGCCCCATGTTTTGAACATGCCCTGATAGACACAGGCAGAAGAATCACAAAAAGAGCTAAAAGGAAGACAACGTGAGAGCATAAGAGCTTAATTTTGGTTAATGTTCAAATAAGAAATGCAAAAATGAGGAGGCTTGATCCTGTTTGTGCCTCACGTTATGTCAAGTTTTTTATTTTATTTTTTTCTGCTCCAATCAGGTGATGAATGGGCGATGATGGGTTCTGCCCAAAAAGCGGCAGCACCATTGCCAAAAGGCAGAATGAAAGACACAGAGACATGTTTGGGAAAGCAACGTCATGAGGAAAAACAATTAAAGGGGGAGCTAGAGAAATGCTCTACTTTACCACAGGTACCTGTCGCACAAGTAGCTGTCGGTGACTTCTCGGGCAAAGATGCTCAGCCAGAAAAAGAGGCTTGGCCACAGTGTGGAAAAATACCCACAGATGAATCAGGATTATGTGACTGTTGCAGAAGGCACACGGTAGAAGAACAAAATGAACATGGAAAACGTTTCCGAAGGACCTTCTCAGTTACTTTGCGTCAGAGAATGCAAGGAGAGAAACCATATAAATGCTTGGAGTGCGGAAAAAGCTTCAGAGATTCAAGTTATCTTACTTCCCATAAAAGGATCCACACAGGAGAAAAACCGTACGAATGTAAGGAATGCGGAAAGAGCTTCCGTTTTGCACAAAGCCTCACTTCCCATAATAGGATTCACACAGGCGAGAAACCATATGAATGTCCCAAGTGTGGAAAGACCTTCAGTCAAAAATATCAGTATACTGTACATAACCGAAACCATACTGGAGAGAAACCATATAAGTGTATGGAGTGTGGAAAACGCTTCACTAATTCAAGTTGCCTCACTTCCCATAAAAGAATCCACACAGGGGAAAAACCATATAAATGCCCGGAGTGTGGAAAGTGCTTCAGAGCTTCAAGTTCTCTTACTGCTCACAAAATGATCCACACCGGGGAGAAACCTTACAAATGCAAGAACTGTGCAAAAAGCTTCAGACAAAAATGTCAATATATTGTACATAACAGAATTCACACCGGGGAAAAACCGTATAAATGCTTGGAATGCGGAAAAAGTTTCCGTTCAGCAAAACATCTCCCTTCCCATAAAAGGATCCACACTGGTGAGAAACCATATTCATGCAAGGAATGTGGGAAGAGCTTCAGTGAAAAACATCATTTTACTGAACATAACAGAATCCACACTGGGGAGAAACCGTATAAATGCTTGGAGTGTGGAAGATGTTTCACTGTGTCAAGTTCCCTCACTTCCCATCAAAGGATCCACACTGGGAAAAAATCATACATCTGCCTCGTGTGTGGAAAGGGGTTTACTCAACATCAGTCCCTTTATGAGCACAGAAAAATTCACTTGAGGGGAACGCATAAAAAGAAACAGAGTAGAACCGTATAAACAAATTGTCAAATATTTGGGACGCTTGAGCTATTTATTACTATGGAGAAATGAAATGTTAGGGAATGAAGGGAAGATAAGAAGGAATAACTATTCTGAAGAGAGTGGAGAAAAAGAACTACAATTGGTTTTTTTGAGTAAGGTTGAGCATTTGTCCATATAGAGTTCCAAATATAATCTTTCTTGGAAGACCCACTTTGGAACTCTTCGCTTTTTGCATCTCTCAATTTATTGGCCACTAAGAGCACTTAACTTAGTTACTTAACAATGACTCTGGCCTTTGACTTTGCTCTTTTTGCTCCTTAATTTACATCTCCATCATTGAACATTAATTACAAGGGCTGTCAACACTTTCAGTTCTGCAATAGTGGCGAATATCTGTAGCTCAGAGGTAAGATGAGGATGAAGATTCGTTCTCCAAACATTTCATTACCAGACTAGGTAACATCATCAGCAGAGTTTAGGGGATGTCAGGATTAAGTGTTCTTGTTTATAAGGGCTTCAGGGGTGGATGTGTCAAGAGAGGGTCTTGTGATGGGTCAGCCTCTCATCAGTGAGAGGTTTGTGATGGGTCTTGTGATGGGGAGCAATTCCATCAACAGGCACACTGACCTACACCCAGCCTATGAGCTCCTCAGAATCCAAATCTACCACATAGCCAACCGGAGAGAGCACCGAACCTCAACCAACCCATGTAAACCCCCCAGAAGTTCACCTTCCAATGACCCTGACCTAATGTAACCAGCATCAAATTCCTGGGTGTGCAGCTAACAAGTAGGCTGGCTTGGTTGCTCAAGAGTGAGAAACTGGTGAAGCGGGCACAGCAGCGCCTGCATTTTCTGCGTCGCATGAGAAAAGCACATCTTCCTTCCCCTGTCCTGACCATTTTCTACAGGGGGACGATCGAGAGCATCCTGTCATACAGCATCACAGTCTGGTTTGGAAGCATCACCGCTTCAGACAGGAAGGCGGTGCAGAGAGGGGTGAGAATGGCTGAAAAGAACATTGGCAGTTCCCTCCCTCCCATCCAGGACATAGCACAGAAGTGTTGCTTGAACAGGGTGCGTAAGATTATCTGGGAGACTACACATCCTCTTCATGACCTGTTTTCCTTGTTACCTTCTGGGAGGCGGCTTCGTGGTATCCGTAGCAGAACATCCAGATTCAGCAAGAGTTTCATTCCGTACAGCATTAACTTGTGAACTCTCAAGCGTCCTCCTTCCATTATATTCAGTATTCAAGATGGACAGTATTTAATATTTATTTGTTATGTATATGTAGGGGTGTGGGTCTATACATATGCTGTATATAGTATGTTTAGGTGTGTGTCATGTATGTGTTTCACTTTGAGAGCGGGCAACTAAATTTCATTTTTGATGTGTGCTGTTGTGCCCACAGTAAAAAAATGACAATAAAGGTTATTTTATCTTAACCTCCCCATCTCAAAACCCATCACAAGACCCTTTCTTGACACACCCACACCTGAAGCCCTTATAAACAAGAACACTTAACACTGACATCCCCTAAACTCTGCTGAAGATGTTACCTAGCCTGGTAATGAAATGTTCAGAAAACAACCCACAAGCTGAGAGAACAACCTTCACCCTCACTTTCAGTTCGCTTTTATTTAGTCTTCTGGCTTCCTCAACTCTTGGGATGACAAAAAACACCATGCCGATTTTAAGCCACGGATGGGCAACCTCAGCTTTGCTGTCATCATGCAATTTCTTGAATAAAGGTCTCTTTTGGTTTTCATTCTTTTAAGGACTAGTCTCCAGAATTGTTTTTATATAAAATTTCAGTCTCGTAGCTTCATTCTTCCTTTTTAAATGCACTTTTTACCCTTGCAGCACAGGACAGGAATCCGGACAATATTCCAGAGTTACAATGTCCAAGATCAAAGGTTTTCTTCCTTATATCCCCAGTAATTTCCCCCACCTAATCACAAAAACCATGGTTGAATCGGGAGTTTGGGTTGAAGTCCAGCCACATAGGTCTTTAGGAATTCCATCCAACACAAAGATTCTCTGATTAAGAAGGGAGTTTGAACCATTAGGGATTGATCCAGTGTAACCTTTTTCTCGGAAGAGAAAGTATCTTTTTTTTTTTTTAAATTGAAAATTTTTAAAATTTTACAAAAAAAATTTCCCTTCCCCAGACCCTCCCAACCCACCCCAGCCCTCCCCCAACCTTCCCAGAGCTGAATACAGGCTTAATTAAAATTTAAAAGAAAAAGTTTTAAACACAAATAAATCATATACAAATTTGATTACAATAATTAAACAAATTATAAAATACTTTAACACCCATATTTAGAAAACAAAAAGAGAAAAAGAAAAGAAGAAAAAGGAAAAAAAATCTTAAACTTTAAATATAAATTATTCAAAAACTAAATAATATTTTTATATCATATTTATATTGTATAAAATTTATCCATCTTTTCCATACCAAGAGGTACTTCTCTTGCGATTGATCTTTCAAGAAAGCTGAAATCTTTGCCATTTCCGCTAAGTAGGAAACTTTAAGAAACCATTCTTGCAAAGTAGGCAAAGATTCCTTCTTCCAACATTGCCCTACTAACAACCTAGCCGCTGTAATTAAATTTAACATTAATATAGTTTCTCTACTGTCACAATCGGAAACAATACCCAGCAAAAACAATTGTGGAGTAAATTTTATCCTTCTTTTAAAAATTCTTTGAATATTCCACCATATCTTAATCCAAAAAGCTTTTATATTTTTACATGACCACCAAATATGATAATAAGTAGCATCCAAGCAACCACATGAAGAGAAAGTATCTTGTGATGAAAGTTGGATGAGTACTTGGCTCAGCTGGCCCTGGGTGCCAAGGGAAACCCTCTCTTTAAAAAGACATCAGAACTCAAGATGAATATCCTCTCCAATTTCTCCCACAACAATCACCCTGTGAGTGGTTTATCAAGAGAAAATAACAGACCAAAAGTCACCTGGCTGGCTTCCATGCCTAAGGGAAGAGTTCCCCAACCTTTTGCCATTGGTGGCCTGGAATGGGTGGGAGGAGAGAAAGAAGGGATGGTTTTGTGGAATGGGTTAGCCCATGTTCTTGTGCATGAACACCTGCAACCTTCGCGGTGATGCTCGTGTGGATGCAGAAGTGGGACTGCGAATGCTCATGCGAATGGGGCCGCAAACACCTGTGACACACAAATGCAGCTGCAAACGCCCATGACAACACTCACATGAACGGGGCTACAAATGCACACAAGTGGGGCCACGAACATCCACAACACTCCCACCAATGGTCGTGTGACGGGCTGTGTGTGAGACCACACCTGGAATACTGCAGCCAGTTTTGGTCATCATATCACAAAAAAAATGTTGAGAGTTTGGAAAAAATTCAGAGGAGAGCACCTAAGAAGATCAAAGGCCTGGAAACTACTGTAAAACATACAAAGAATGGCTGCAGGATTTGGGTTTGGCTAGTAGTCTAAAGAAAAGAAGAAATAGGGGAGACATGATAGCAGTGTTCCAGTATTTGAGGGGCTGCCACAAAGAAGAGGGGGTCACATTATTCACCAAAGCACCAGAGGGCAGGACAAGAAACAATGGCTGGAAACAGATCAAAGAGAGGAGCAACCTGGAATTAAGGAGAAACTTCCTGACAGTGAGGACAACTAACCAGTGGAACAGCTTACCTTCAGAAATCATGGTGCTTCCATCACTGGAGATTTTTAAGGCTAGACCAGGGGTGTCAAGCTCAGTTTCATTGAGGGCCGCATCAGCATTGCGGTTGTCCTCAGGGGGGCCGGGTAGGTGTGGCCAGGATGGGCTGGGTAGGTGTGGCCAGGGTGGGCATGGCTGGAGTGGGTGTGGCCTACTGGGTGGGCATGGCGAGGTCTACATCGTTCGCGTCAAGGGTGCCTGTGGGGGACTGGGCAGGAGTGGGACAGATCTGGCAGAAGGGGGTGGGACTGGGGCAAGAACCAAGGCATGGTCCACTGGAAGAGCCTCACTGTTCCTCTCAGGCCATGCGAGGGGGGGGGCTGGATGGTTCTGTGGGCTTTCCGGAGCCCTGGGCAGTAGAGGTCAAATGCCCAGCCTGGGCCTCAAGCACCAAGCCCAGCCCCACTATCCCAAGGGGGTACCCAGCTGCACTTATCTCCTCCTCAAGGCTGCTGCTGCTGTGCTTGCTCTCCTTAGCCGGGTTGCTCATGATGGGTATGAGGGCAAAGTCAGAGGGAGGCCCACTCCCTCTCCATAGGAGGAGACCTGGCTTTGTATCCAAAGCTTCCTTAGCAATAGGATGGGAGACCCCCGAGGATAGGCCAGGAGGAGGGGGCAAGAGGATGGTGAAAGGGCAGCAGAGCAGTCCCTCCCTCTCTTTCCTTCCTTCCTTTCTTCCTTCCTTCGAACAGAGTGGTGGGAAAATATTTAATAATAATAATAATAATAATAATAATAATAATAATAATAATAATAATAAAGTTGAAAGGGGCCTTGGAGGTCATCGAGTCCAACCCCCTGCTCAGGCAGGAAATCCTATACCATTTCGGACAAATGGCTGTCCAGTCTCTTCTTTAAAACTTCCAGTGTTGGAGCATTCACCGCTTCTGGAGGCAGGTTGTTCCATTGGTTAATTGTTCTAATTGTCAGGAAGTTTCTCCTTAGTTCTAGGTTGTTTCTCTCCTTGAGTTTCCATCCGTTGGAGAAAAATAGGCAAGAAATGCAGCTGGGGAGGTGTCACCCTTCTTGAGGAATGAAGAAATGCACCATCTGTCTGGAAGGGGCCAGCACATGGCCCTTCACATATCTGGCTTGGTGGGCTTTGGGGAAGGGGACGCCATGAACAGTGTGAGAGTCAATGTTACTTGTGCAATGCCGCCCAGCCCCCAGCCTGCCCGGTTTCAGCAGGCAGCAAGGTGCTCTCCTCACAGCGCCGAGAGGCTGAACCAGGTGGCGCGAATCTGAAAAAAGTACTACGCCACCCAGCCCCCAGCCTGCCCAGTTTCGGCAGGCAGAAGGATGCTCTCCTCACAGTGCTGAGAGGCTGAGCTGGGCAGTGGGAAGCTCGCCAGCTTTGCACCTTGTTGCCTGCTGAAATCAGGCAGGCTCGGGGCTGAGGGCGTCGTGCTTCTTTTTGAATTTGTGCCGCCTGGCTCAGCCTCTCAGTACTGGGAGGAGAGCGCCCCACTGTCTGCCGAAATTGGGCAGGCTGGGGCTGAGTGGTGTCGCGCTTTTTTTTGCATTCACGCTGCCTGGCTCAGCCTCACGGCACTGTGAGGACAGCACCCCACTGCCTGCTGAAACCCCTCCCCCGGAGCCCATCAAGCCAGATATGTGAAGTAGGTGAGAGCCATTTGCTGGCCATTTCCAAGCGATGGTGCATTTCTTCATTCCTCACAAAGGGTGACAACTCCCCAGCGCGCGCCCAGGGGACAGTGCCAACGCGGCAGGGACCGATCCCTTGCTGTTTCCAGACGGCCTTGTGAAGCTAAGACTGAATGCGTTTCAGCATAGATGGCCACCACAAAATTGTACATTGGCTCCCGGCCGGGGCCAAGGCAATGGGGGCCATTCCCTCACTGTTTCCAGGATGGCTTCAAGGGCCACATGAAACCACGTCGCGGGCCTTGTGTTTGACACGTCTGCGTTAAGTATTCATTGTACATTGACTGGCTTAAGGAGAAATTTTCTGACAATTTGGGCAGGGGGTTGGACTAGATGACCTACAAGGTTCCTTCCAACTCTGTTATTCTATTCTATTCTATTCTATTCTATTCTATTCTATTCTATTCTATTCTATTCTATTCTATTGTAAGAAGAGACTGGGCTGCCATCTGGCAGGTCCCCCGCTTGGGTGGGGGGGGGTGTTGGACTAGATGACCTAAAATGTACTTTCCAACTCTGTTGTTCTATGTCTTAGTCTATGTTTCGTCCCTTTGTAACAGCCTCTATTTAAAAAAAAAAAAGGAGGGCAACGAGACGCTTTTGGAGAGGACATAACAGCCTCTCACGGAAAATGCAGCCTTTCTCCTCTTTTTACCTTCAGCATATTTACAAGGCATCCACCAGGGGGCTCCCTCTGCCAAGGAAGGGAACACAGTGCACTTCACAGCTGGCTTTACAGAGGAGGAAGAGAGAAGGGAATGACATCACAAAGATTTGCCTCTCTAGGATCCTGCACTCTCTCTCCATCATCCTCTGAGCTTTGCTGCAGGTGAAAACTCTCCTGTTCCGGCAGGCCTGGGGTTGATGTGGGGGGGGGGCAGGATTCGATTGGGACATGCTGTGTGAATGTATTCATTTTTAATTGTTATATTTGTTGTTTTAATTTTGTACGCCGCCCTGAGTCCCTAGGGATTGGGCAGCATATAAATTTTACTAATAAATAAATAAAAGAAAAGGCGGGGGGAATGTCTTGCAGGGGAGACAGCCAGATGTGGCCCTAAGGGAGGAGGAGGGGGGTCTCCCAGTGCAAAGGGAGGTGGAGGGTCCTCATCCTGGAGGAGGGAGGGACACCAGCCAAGTCCTCATGCAAGTTCAGTCTTCTGAGTCCCAAGAGTGGGAGAGACCAAATCCCATGTTCCCCTGCTGCCCCTCCTTTCCATGCACACAACAGACACGTGGGTTGGGGGGGGGAAGCAGAGGACCAGACCAGCCTTGTTGCCCCTTCCTCGACAGAACTCAGGATTCCCAGGAAAGAGGTGGGGATTGGGGAAGTCCTTCCCGCCTGGTTTTCTCGGAACAGCTGGGGGGGGGGAAGGGGAAGGGGGGAGAAGAAGGAAGATCTCAAGCAAGAGGTAAGAAAAGCCTTGCAAGACAGGAGACGCTCCAGATCGGTCCGGATTCGCACTAGGTGCTGGATGAGGCTCAAAAGAGAGCCAAATCCTTCACAATGGAACCTGACTTGGGAGGGGGAGTGAAGCAGGACAGTATCTCCAGACCCTGTTGGGGGGGGGAGAACTTGGCTCCTACCGTTGACTGACCCTTTTGGGCTTCAGGGCATGTTGTGTGGGCATGCCTGCCTGTAAGAGTCTGTCCTGGTGCTCCAAAAGTCAGTCTTGAACAAGGGTAATGGAGCATCCTAAGCCAGGGTCATGTTCTTGCATTTCTTTTGAGCTGAACAGAGATTTTATGGTTGGCTAATTTGTTTGGAGTGTTGACATGTTGCGTGAACCCTGCTTGCTTTTTTAAAAAGCAAGACCTTCCTTCTGAAAAAAAAATATATAAAATGCTCCAAATACATTTACTCAGCATTTGAAGAATAGAATAGAATAGAGTAGAGTAGGGTAGAGTAGGGTAGGGTAGTACAGAACCTTGGAGGTCTTCTAGTCCAACCCCCTGCTCAGGCAAGAAACCCTATACTATTTGAGAAATATGGTGGTCCAGTCTCTTCTTAAAAACCTTCAGTGTTGGAGCATTCACAACTTCTGGAGGCAAGTCGTTCCATTGATTAATTGTTCTAACTCTCAGGAAATTTCTCCTTAGTTCTAGGTTGTGTCTCTCCTTGATTACATTAGGGTTGGATTAGAAGACCCCCAAGGTCCCTTCCAACTCTATTATTCGGTTCTGTTCTGAATTTATTTTCTTTTCCATCTTAGAGACACAAACTGGAAGACATTTGTACTCATCATGTATACATAAAATGATCTCTTGGCTAAAGAGGGCTGAATGTCTAACTATCACCATAGCTGCAGCAAGAGAAACAGTTCTTTGAATGAAAAGTTTCCTGGAGATTCACATAAGAGTCCTTGGACCCATCTGGCCTTGCGTTACAGGACAGAGAAAGAATGGAGACCCAATCTTTAGCAAGTGAGGGAATTGGAAAAGGACTTTCAACTGTTCAGCCTAGGTGCTGTGAGGAGATCTGGGCAAGAACTGGGCAGAAGATCCTGGAAGAAGACACCATCATCCCTTCAGAAGTTCAATCCTGGAACTTCAGAAGCATCCGATATCAGGCTTCTGAGGATCCCCGAGGACTTTGCAGCCAACTCCATGACTTTTGTAATCGATGGTTCAAAGCAGAAAAGCACACCAAAGCCCAGATGCTGGACCTGGTTGTTCTGGAGCAGTTTCTGGCCCTTCTGCCCATTAAGATGGAGAACTGGGTGCGGGAGTGTGGAGCAGAAACCAGCTCCCAGGCGGTGGCCCTGGTGGAAGGCCTTCTCCTGAGCCAAGCAGGGGAGCAGAAGGAGCAGGTGAGAGACCTTCACCTTGGGAGCCCAGAAGGGGTTGACTGGAATAAAGAATGTGGTTGAATTCTTCACCCCTTTTACCAGAGTCCCAAAGGTGCTTTTTTCACAAGGCAATTGGACTTCCTTGGGGTTTTTTGAAGACATTTTGCTTCTCATCCAAGAATCTTCTTCAGCTCTGATGGGATGGTGGGGAATGGAAGGATTTATACTCGTTGCAGACAGCTGGTCATTTGCATTCTTTTAGACTCATTGAGGCCACTTGGACACTTTCAAGAATCCACTTTACGTTGTGTGATGTCCACTAATTCTTCTTTTCTCCTGTCTCCTGTTTCAAGCTCTTCACAATGGACATCAGAGATCCTGAGGGAAGCAGGAATCCATCAAATTCTCAGGAGTTTTTGAGGAGCATTTCTCTGGAAGATCCAGGTCTGGACACCTTGGGAGGTAATCAAAGGTTCTGCATTTTCCAGAAAGTTCCAAGCTCTCTCCTCTTCTGTAAAATGTCTCTTCCTATGTTATTAATTATGTTTTTTTTTAATTCTGTTTTTCCTCACAGGGAAGACTACAGTGGAGTTGTCTGCTCTGTATGGTGAAGCTGAAACAGTGCTCGGACCTCCAACTCATGTAAGAGGAGCAAATTCACTAATAGAATAGAATAAAAGAGCTGGAAGGACCTTGTATGTCATCCAGTCAAACCTCCTGCCAGAGCAGGAGACTCTTCATCAATTCTGACAGATGGCAGTCCAGTCTCTTCTTGAATGCTTCCAGTGATGAAGCTCCCACAACTTCTGAAGGCAAACTGTTCCTTGGTAGATTGTTCTCACTGTCACAAAAGTTCTCCTTATTTCTTGGTTGAATCTCTCCTTGGTCTGTTTCCATACATTATTTCTTGTCTGGCCTTCAGTTGCTTTGGAGAATAGGTTGACCCCCTCCTCTCTGTGACAACCCCTCAAATATTGGAAGACTGCTGTCATATCACCCCTGGTCCTTCTCTTCACTAGACTAGCCATGTCGAGTTCCTGTAACTTTCTTCATATGTGAGCCTCCAGTCCCCTAACCATCTTTGTTGATCTTCTCTGCACTTTTTCTAGAGTCTCAACATTTTTTTTTATACTATGGTGACCAAAACTGGATGCAGTATTCTAGGTGTGGTTTTACTAAAGCCTTACTTATTAGATTCAAATTCTCCCTTTCCTTCAGGAAGTCACAATGGTATACAAAACACTCTCTCCTTCCATTCTCTAGAAAGAGTGCAGAGAAGAGCAACAATGATGATTAGAGGTTTGGAGGCTAAACTGTACAATGAATGGTTGCGGAAACTAATATGTCTAGTCTAGCAAAGAAGAGGACTGGGGTGACGTGACAGCAGTTTCTCAATACTTGAGGGCAGTCACAGCGGCGATCAAGCCATTCTCCAAAGCAACTGAGAGGAGGACAAAAAGTAGATTATCAAGGAGAGAAGCAACCTAGAACTAAGGAGGAATTTCCTGACGGTGAGAACAATCAATCCTTGGAACAGCTTTCCTCCAGAAGCTGTGGATGCTCCATCACTGGAGGTTTTCAAGGAGAGATTAGACAAACATTTGTCCAGAATGGTACAGGGCCTCCTTCTTGAGCAGAGAGTTGGAATAGAGGAGCTCCAAAAACCCTTCCATCTCTGATACTCTCTGATTCTATAATTCATTCTTCTTCTGACTTGGTATGGGGAATAGAAGATTCAAGTTGCTCTCAGTCAGCTTAGTCCCCCTCTGAAGTCTATTCTTTGGATACAATGGTTTGTAAATTCTACCTTGAGATTTATATTAAGAAATCTTTTTTTTAAGACCAGTACTTAACTCCCCCTTTTTCTAGATACCTTTCCTACTATTAGTTACACCCACTCTTGAGTCCTTCAAGAGATAGGAATATCACATGGGCAGCAAGTGCTAAACTGTATCTATTCATTTGTAATTCTTTGACTTGGAATTGTGCAAGTTTGTTTAAAAATACATAAATACTCAAATAGCGCAATACCATTTTTAAAAAGCCTTGTCTACAACCAGTTGAAAGATTAAAAGGCAGACGATTAAAATCCAACGAAGGTAGCCAAATAGAAAAATCTCTAAGTAAAAAATTGTTATGCATGTAATCAAAGAACTTTTGACTTGCAAAATAATTTCTAATCCTCTGATTTGTGTCTGGATTTGGAGGCCAAATTCTCCTGCTTTGTAAAATTTTCTTCAATCCCTTGAATTTTTCTCTGCTTTCTCATCCTCAGTTCAGCCAATAGCTCAGATAGATGATAGATGAGATGATTGATTGATTAATAGATAAATAGGTAGAGAGAGAGATGAGAGAGTGATGATAGAGAGAGAAATGGATGGATGGATAGATAGATGGATAGATAATAGTTATAGATGATAGATAGATAGATAGATAGATAGATAGATAGATAGATAGATAGATAGATAGATAGATATGGTACAGTAGATCCATAAAGAAACTAGGATTACTTTCCTTGAATGGCACTGAAAGTCTTGCCACATCAATCATCAATTAAACTTGCCTGAACTATTTCTTCACTCAAAGGCTTTTGATCTATTTTTATCGCCTAAATTCTATGAAGCACAGCCATTCAACTTAGTGCATATCTTTGCTTTGGGACTTTGTGCGTAATGGGATAGACCTTACAAATCCTCCTTGACCCTGTTCGGTTCTTTGTTTTCCTTGTCCAGGAGGGTCTTGTGTCCTTCGAGGAGGTGGCTGTGTATTTCTCCAAGGAGGAGTGGTCTCAGCTGGATTCTGACCAAAAAGCACTCCATTGGGAAGTCATGCTGGAAAATTATAGGAATGTGGCCTCTCTGGGTAAGCAAGTTTGCTATTCGCCTGTCAGAGAGTTTAGTAATTAAATGCCATCCGCTGTTTCTTCTTAAAAGATCTCCAAAGAGATATCATCTTTTGGGAAGAAGCAGGAAGAGATCTAGCCCTTTTCTACTCCAAGGAAGTATCTATCCCAGTGATGGCCAATCTTTTAGAGACTGAGTGCCCAAACTGCAACCCAAAATCATCATCATCATCTTCTTCTTCCTCTTCTTCTTCTTCTTCTTCTTCTTCTTCTTCTTCTTCTTCTTCTTCTTCTTCTTCTTCTTCTTCTTCTCCTCCTTCTTCTTCTCCTTCTTCCTCTTCTTCTTCTTCCTTCTTCCTCTTCTCCTTCCCTCTCTCCCTCCCCCCTTCTCTCTAACCATGTGATTTTGGGATGAGAAAAATGAAGAGTAAATGGGAAATATTTCTGGCAGGAAGAAAATGGTTTCAAAATGGATTTGCATCTATGCTGGTTATTGACACACACCCCTTCCAATAAATGTTAGGTCTTCTCCTAAAACCATACTGGATGTTTCCTCTGATGCTTCCTTAACTACTCTTTATGGTTTATGATTTTTTTTAATCCACAATGATGGCATTTGGAAGTCCTAATAGTATCACAGGGATTTGGCTATTAGAGAATTGGGCTCTGTGATGGGCCAAGTTCTCAAGTAATGGGACCTTCCACTCAGGGGTTCTTCCCACCACCACCCTCCAATTTTCTCCAAGGCTTCCTTTTGTAAGTTCAAATCCATCAGTATGTCTAGATTGAAATTAAACCAATGGGTTCTCCATCATCAAGCCCATTATTAAATAGAGGTAACTGTCGAAAGTCCCTCTTGCGTCCTTGGAACTTAATGTAGAGCAGTAGATCTGATCGTGCCCTACCACAAAAGTGAGATCTCCCCAACTTTTCTGGGTTGGTGGCCTGGAGGGAAAAGGAGGGGCAGGTGAATTTATGTGGTCATGCACACATGTGAATGGGGCCGTGCACATGGACAATGCTCATGGTGACAATGCCATGCAATGTTAACAGCGATGTTAGTGCTCGTGTGACACTCATGATGATGCTAATGCCTGCATGTTGCTCACGGTGACGTTAGGACCCATGTGACAGTCGTGACCACACTAGCACCCACGCAACACTCATGGTGACGCTAGCATGAGTGGGAGGGAGAGTTCACACACACACACACACACACATACACACACACACACACACAGAGGCTAGCCAATCATGCAGCACGCAGCCCACAGGTTGGAGAACCTTGGTCAAAATAATCTTTGTAGCTCATGGTTGAAATCAGGGATACTTGGTGCTTTCTGAGGTTGGTTGTTTTCTTGCAGACATTTCAATACCCAAATTGGATAACATCATCAGTGTCAGTAAGGAGTGAGAACAAGCCCTACTCCTTATTAATACTGATGATGTTATCTAGTTTGAGTAATGAAATGTTTGCAAGAAAACAACCAAGCTCAAAGAGCAGAACCCCTCAGGTTTTTCATTCTGCAACATGGAGGACAAGAGAGACCCCGACCTCAGATCTTATATCAACCCAATTGTAAAGACCGGTCTCAGCTAAGCTACAAAAGAAAGCAGAACTCTTGAAACAGGCATTGTCTCAAAAGGAACTTTTATTAGGGGCTAGTGATAGCAGGGAAAACAAGGCAAGGTCTGAGGAAAAACCCATGGAAGCGATATAATAAAAGCATTATTTAATACTCCTCCCTCCAGAGTCCTAGTGTTCATTTGAATTCCAGTCAATCCAGTCAATTCCAGTGGAATAGTGTTTGATCACTGGGTTCTTTGGCTCGTTCTTTCGAGGTCTCTCTTGCTTTCGTTTTCCTCTGGCTCCAAGTGCAACCATCTCTCAGATAAGGGTGATACATTCCATCCCTTGGGGGAAGGGCACAATAGCCGGACATTGCAAAGTATCCCAAGACATTCCCCCCTCCCAACAGAACGCCAGGCCACAAAGAACAGTTACAGATTCAGGAATAGGCATAAGGAAACAATAATATTCTTTGGGGACCTGACACCGATACCAGTTATCACTCCATGTTTTGAACATACCCTGATAGACACAGGCAGAAGAATCACAACAAGAGCTAAAAGGAAGATGACTTGGGAGGGTGGGGACTTAATTTTGGTTAATGTTCAAATAAGAGATGCAACAATGGAGGCGGGCTTGATCCTGTTTGTACCTCACTTTATGTCAACTTTTCTTTTTTTTTCTTTTTTTCTGCTCCAAGCAGGTGATGAATGGGAGATGATGGGTTCTGGCCAAGAAGTGACAGCACCATTGCCAAAAGGCAGAATGAAACATGCAGAGACATTTTTTAGAAAGCAACGTTCTGAGGAAAAGCAATTAAAAGGGGAGCTAGAGAAATGCTCTACTTTACCACATGTAATTGTCAGTGACTTCTCAGGTAAAGGTGATCGGCCAGAAAAAGAGGCTTGGCCACAATATGGAAAAATACCCGCAGATGAATCAGAAATATACGACTGTTCCAGAAGCCACATGGTAGAGAAACAAAACAAATGTGGAAAACGTTTCCAAAGGACGTTCTCGGTTACTTTGCATCAGAGAATGCAAGGAGAGAAACCATATAAATGCTTGGAGTGCGGAAAAAGCTGCAGAGACTCAAGTTATCTTACTTCTCATAAAAGGATCCACACGGGAGAAAAACTGTACAAATGCAAGCAATGCGGAAAGAGCTTCCGTTTTCGACGAAACCTCATTTACCACAATAGGATTCACACTGGAGAGAAACCATATAAATGCCCAGAGTGTGGAAAGGGCTTCAGAGCTTCAAATTCTCTTGCTGCTCACAAAATGACCCACACTGGGGAGAAACCCTACAAATGCAAGATCTGTGCAAAAAGCTTCAGACGAAAACATCAATATATTGTACATAACAGAATCCACACTGGGGAGAAACCGTATAAATGCTTGGAGTGTGGAAGATGTTTCACTGCGTCAAGTTCCCTCACTTCCCATAAAAGAATCCACACCGGAGAAAAACCATATAAATGTCCGGAGTGTGGAAAGAGCTTCAGAGCTTTAAGTTCTCTTACTGCTCACAAAATGATCCACACTGGGGAGAAACCCTATAAATGCAAGAACTGTGCAAAAAGCTTCAGACTAAAATATCAATATACTGTACATAACAGAATCCACACTGGGGAGAAACCATATAAATGCTCGGAGTGTGGAAGATGTTTCACTACGTCACGTTCCCTCACTTACCATAATAGGATTCACACAGGCGAGAAACCATATAAATTCCTGGAGTGTGGAAAGAGCTTCACAGTTTCAAGTTCTCTAACCACTCACAAAATGATCCACACTGGGGAGAAACCCTACAAATGCAAGAACTGTGCAAAAAGCTTCAGACAAAAACATCAATATATTGTACATAACAGAATCCACACTGGGGAGAAACCGTATAAATGTAGAAAGTGTGGAAGACGTTTCACTGTGTCAAGGTCCCTCATTTCCCATCAAAGGATCCACACTGGGAAAAATCGTAGATTTGTCTGGTGGAAAGGGGTTTACTCAACATCAGTCCCTTTATGAGCACAGAAAAATTCACTTGTGGGAAATGCATAAAAAGCAGTAGAACTGTATAAACAAATTGTCAGAAATTTGGGACTCTTGAGCTATTTATTACTGTGGAGAAAGTAAATGTTAGAGAATGAAGGGAAGATAAGAAGGAACGATGATTGTGAAGAGAGTGGAGAAAAATAACTGCAATTATTGAGTAATGTCGAACATTTGTCCATACAGAGCCCCGAATATAATTTTTCTTGGAAGACCCACTTAGGAACCCTTTGTTTTTTGCATCTCTCAATTTATTGGCCACTAGAAACACCTAACATAGTTACATAACAATGACTCTGGCCCTTGACTTTGCTCCTTTTGCTGCTTAATTTACATCTCCATCATTGAACATTAATTACAAGGGGTGTCAACACTTTCAGTTCTGCAATAATGGCGAATATCTGTAGCTCGGGTATAGGATGAGGGTGAAGGTTGGTTCTCTGAGCTTGTGGGCTGGTTTTTGAATATTTCGTTACCAGGCCAGGTAACATTTTCAGCGGAGTTTAGGGGATGTCAGAGTTAAGAGTTTATAACAGCTTCAGGTGTAGGTGTGTCAAGAGAGGGTCAGAGAAGAGCAACTAAGGTGATCAAAGACTTGGAGACTACAACATATGAAGAACGGGTTCAGGACTTGGGTTTTGGTAGTCTAAAGAAAAGAACTAGGGGTGACATGATAACAGTATTCCAGTATTTGAGAGGCTGCCATAAAGAAGAAGGGGTCAAATTATTCTCCAAAGAACCAGAGGGCAGGACAAGAAACAATGGTTGGAAACTGATCAAGGAGAGAAGCAACCTAGAATTAAGGAGAAAGTTCCTAAGAGTGAGGACAATTAATCAGTGGAACAACTTGCCTTCAGAAATTGTGGGCACTCCATCACTGGAGGTTTACAAGAAGAGACTGGACAGTCACTTATTTGAGATGGTATAGGTTCTCCTGCTTGACTAGAAGACCTCCAAGGTCCCCTCCAGATTCTATTCCATTCCGCTCCGCTCTACTCTGCTCTACTCTGTTCTTGTGATGGGTCTTGTGATGGGTCAGGTGTGAGTCATCAGTGAGAAGCTTGTGATGGGGAGCAATTCCATCAATGGGCCCATTGATGGCACATTGACCTACAACCAGCCTGTGAACTCCTCAGAATCCAAATCAACCACACAGCCAACTAGAGGGAGCATCAACCCTCAACCAACCCATGTAAGCCCTCCAGAAATTCACCTCCCAATGACCTTGACCTGATGTAACCTCCCCATTTCAAAATCCTCTCTTGACACACCCACATCTGAAGCCCTTATAAACACTTAACCCTGACGTCCTCTAAACTCTGCTGAAGATGTTACCTAGCCTGGTAATGAAATGTTCAGAAACCAACCCACAAGCTGAGAGAAACAGCTTCACCCTCATTTTCAGTTCTCTTTTAGTTAGTCTTCTGGCTTTCTCAACTCTTGGGATGATAAAAAAAAACCACCATACCAGTTTTAAGCCACAGATGGGTTATCTCAGCTTTGGTGTCTTCATGCAATTTCTTGAATAAAGGTCTCTTTTGATTTTCATTCTTTTAAGGACTAGTACATTTATATCCAGAATTTTTCTCTTCTTTTAAACCATATTCAAACATATGTTTAATCTTTAAATGTTCCATTTAATAAATCCAATTATTTAATCTTTTAGATCTATTCAAAACATTTTTGTCCACTGAAGATTTCTCAAGATCACGTTCACTTAAGTATCTAAAACATTTCCTTTATATAAACCAGTGGTTCTCAACCTTTCTAATGCCGCGACCCCATAATGCAGTTCCCCATGTTGTGGTGACCCCCAACCACTTATACATCACCGGGTGCCAGGGGCCTGGCCAAAGAAAAGGGGGAAAAAATGGCGGACAGCCTTGTTTGGCGACCCCCGTGAAATGGTCGTTCGACCCCAAATGGGGTCCCGACCCACAGGTGGAGAACCACTGATATAAACCATCCCAACAGAAGAAGAAAAGAAAGAAAAAATGCTATGTTATGTGAGGAGTTCATCCCTCTTAAACTAAAATACATTTATATCCAAACTCTTTCTATTTCTATCCAAACGTGTTTAATTTTTAAATATCACCTAGCCTGGTAATGAAATGTTCAGAAAACAACCCACAAGCTTGGAGAACGACCTTCACCCTCACTTTCAGTCTTTTTTATTTAGTTTTCTGGCACCCTCAACTGGGATGCCAGTTTTAAGCCATGGATGGGTTATCACAGCTTTGCTGTCATCAAGCAATTTCTTGAACAAAGGTCTCTTTTGGTTTTCGTTCTTTTAAGGACTAGTCTCCAGAATTGTTTTTATATGAAGTTTCAGTCTCGTAGCTTCATTCTTCCTTTTTTAAATGCACTTTTTACCCATGAAGCACAGGACAGGACGATATTTCAGAGTTACAAAGTCCAAGATCAAAGGTTTTCTTCCTTAGATCCCAAGGAATTTTCCCCACCGAATGTCAAAACCATGGTTGAATCGGGGGTGGGGCTGGGTGGGTTTGGGGTTGAAGTCCAGACCCAAGGGTCTTTAGGAATTCCCTCCAAAGCAGAGGGGAGAAAGAAGGGATGGTTTTGTGGAAGGGGTAAATGGGCGTGCATGAACACCTGCAACGTTTGCAGCGATACTCGTGTGAGTGGAGCCGTGAACACTAACGACACTCACATGAGTGAGACCGCAAATGCTTGTGGGAGTGGAGCTGCAAACGCCTGTGATGCTCGTGCGAATGGGGCCACAAATGCCACAATGCTCACACGAATCCAGATGCAAATACCCATGACGACACTCGCATGAGTGGGGCCGCGAACACCCACGATGCTTTAGGCAAGTCATGAGGTTCGGGAGAACTAGATCTCATGGTCCCCCAGGTTATAATCCAGCACCCAAACCACTTATGGTCATTCATTCATTCATTTATAAAATTGATAGGCTGCCCATCTTACCTCAAGGTAACTCTGAGTGGCTTATTATAACATGATTATTATAACAATCTCTTCCACAAGGGCCAATATGAACTAGAAAAAGAAATTAATCACAAAATTTCATCCAGTCAAATCAGCCAGCCAAACATTTGTCATTCCTTCATCCTGAAGCCAGTTCTGGATTTGAGGACAGAGGGAGGAGGGTGAGTTATCTTTGATACTTGGCTTATCTGCTGAAATTTTAACTCGCTAAAGCCTTTTGGAAAGAAATCATGTTGTCCTGCCATACAGTCTTGGCACTCAATCAGGGCAAAAACTTTAAAAACACACACACAATTAGAATGAACTGAACTCAAGAAATAATATCCAGCAGGAAACACCAAATTAATCAGATGACCTGTATTCCTGGCTGAGCTTAGGTTTTCTTTGTTAAATAGGAAAAAAAATCCTTTCTACCAAGAGATTAGTATTTCAATTAGCAATAGCAAGTAGACTTATATACTGCTTCACAGTGTTTTACAGCCCTCTCTGAGCGATTTACAGACTCAGCCTATGGCCCCCAACAATCTAAGTCCTCATTTTACCAACCTCAGAAGGATGGAAGGCTGAGACAACCTTAAGCCTGTCAGGATCAAACTGCTGGCAGTGGGCAGAGTTTGCCTGCAAAGCTACATTCTAACCACTGTGCTATCACTTGGGAAAAAAACTATATTTTCCAAGTAGCTGGGGAAAAACTCCCACCCCTGACAAATATGTATTCCTCCTTCCCAAAAAGAGAAATAGACCAGAGAGAAGCAAGAAAAGATTAATCAGCCATTGAGAATTGAACTGCTGGCAGCTGACAGTCGGCAGAAGTAGCCTGCAGTACTGCATTCTAACCACTGCTCCCCTAAACAAGCAGAAACTGCAACTCAGCAGTGTGCCTGACTGCAAAACACCCCCTCTTCAAATGCCAGCTAAAAGTAAAAGAAAGGTCCAGTTGAGAGAGAGAGCTGTTCAATCTAGAGGAGAAGGGATATGACATCATCTGTCTCCAGTTTACAACACAGCCCTTTCAACAGTTCCGAGAAGGCTCCACATCCATTTGCATGGGTCAAGTGACTCTGATGACACAGATAATCCTCCAGATGACACCACGACCCTCTAAAACAGGCGTGTGAAACTCAGGACATCATGGGACTTTTTCCCCACTGCCAGCAATGGGGTGGATGAGGTTTCGGTGTGATGCATCTGGCCTGTGGGCCGGTAGTTTGACATGCCTGCTCTAAAAAGAATGCAAATAACTAGCTGTCTGCAAGAAATATAAATCCTTCCATTCCCCATCATCTAGTCAGACCTGAAGAAGCTTCGTGGGTGAGAAGCGAAAGGTCTTCAAAGACAAACTAGAAAGTCTTGAAAAGGCACCTTTGGGATTTCTGACAGAACAATTAATCAGTGGAACAGCTTGCCTCCCATGGTTGTGTGTGCTCCATCACGGGAGGTTTTAAAAACTAAACTGGACAACCATTTCACTGGCAAGGTATAATAATAATAATAATAATAATAATAATAATAAGGTGTTTACCCGTCGCAGATACACAGTGATGGAAAACAAAGAAATAATGATCTGTTACTACAGATCAAGTCCAACAAGAAGAGGATATCTAAAACGAATGCACCAGTTCTGGAAAGAACAACATCCAGAATCAGAAATAACAGAACAGAGACTAGCAGATCAACGCCGATTTATAACACGAAATAAAGTATTTACAGAAACAGAATTGGACGAACTGCAAAGGTTTACCCAGGGCAAAGAAATCAAAGCCTTACCAGAAGTAATTCAGAATGTAGAGGCAAACCAGGGGGAGTTGGCAGTGAAAGAATCCAGTAGAGATATACAACTGTTCTCATTTGGAAACCAGGCACCTCTTCCTCAGGAAGAACAAAACCCTCTAACTAAAGAAATAAAAGAATTGAAACAAAGAATAACTGAGCATCTAGAACAGCACAAAAACAACAGAATAAGGCTACCTGCATTGAAGCTTGTTCCAAAGAAACAGCTAGCACAAGCATTAAAAGATGCAAATACTGCAATATCAAGTATAAGCACAATTCACTGCAAGAAACAAACCAACTAATGTACAGCACAGCTGCAGTTATAACAGAATACCTGGGATGCAAAATCAACAAAGAAGAAAAACAAACAAACAGTGCACCAGAAAAATGGAAGGTTAGACTAGAAAATAAGATCAGCAAGTTAAGATCACATGCAAGCAAGCTAGAACAGATGAAAGAAAAGAAGCTGAAGAACAAGAAGACCAAAGAATACCTAATCAAGAAATACCACTTAGAAACAAGGAAGATCAAGGAAGCACTGGAAATAATAAAGCAACAAATAACAGCTATAGCCAGGAAAATCAGTAGATATGAAGCTCGAATTGCAAACTATAGGCAGAACCTCCAATTTCAATCCAATCAGAAACGTTTCTACCAATCCATCAATGGAGAAACTGCAAGGAATCAGTCAGTACCTGACAAGGAAGAAACAGTGCAGTTCTGGAAGCAGATATGGGATAACCCAAAGAAATACAACAAGGATGCGGCTTGGTTAAAAGAGGTGGATGCAAATAAAACAGAAGTTGAAATGAAAGAACTAGTAATAACAACAAAAATGGTAGAAAAAAGAGCAAAGAAAATCAAAAATTGGTCAGCACCAGGTGAAGATGAACTGCATGGGTTTTGGTTGAAACATCTAACTGTTATACACCCACTCAT